TTCATCAAAGGTGGATATCTAGTGAGATTTTAATAGTTATTTGACTTTATTTACTAACTATTTAACTTTGGTCAGGGTTAATAGACAGCTGATCTGAAGGTCTTTAAGTCATCTTAGTTATTTAATATCAATGTGACACTTGATAGATTTTATAATGATATTCTAAATTTATTTTTATTGAAAATTTTTATATCAAGGTGAATTTATCCCGAGGTGAATATGTGCCGAGGTGATTTTTTTGAAGTGAATTTGTATCAAGATAATTTTCGCCGAGATGAATTTAATGAATCTGAACTCTTACAAAGATAATTTTGTTAAGTGAAGCTTTATTGAAAGAAAATTTATTAAAGTGAACTCTTTTAAAGGTAACTTTTGTTATAATGAACTCTTTTAACGAACTAACTAATTAGGTTAAGCTAAAATTTTTTATTCGATTTGAGCTCTTTGGCCAAGCTAATCTTTTATTAAGAAAATATAGTAAAACTGCTACTTTATCAATGCAATTTGGTTGGATTAAGCTCTTTTGGCCGAGCTTATTTCTTTTAACTGAGCTAATCTCTTTTGGTCAAGTTGGTAAAGTTAAGCCTTTATAAAGATAATTTACTAATATAAGCTCTTTGACCAATATGATTGAGCTAAGCCTTTGTGAGGGTAATTTACTAAGATTAGCTCTTTAACTGAGATGTGCTCTTTAGTTAAGGTGACCCAGCTAAGCTTTTATGAAAATATTTTATCAAGATGAGCTATTTAGCTTAAACGATCGAGCTAAGCCTTTATGAAAGTAATTTATCGAGATGAGCCTTTTGACCAAGGTGACTAAGATGAGCTCTTTGACCGAGGTGATCAAGCTAAGCCTTTGTAAAGGTAATTTACTAACATGAGCTCTTTGGTCAAGGGGATCAAGCTAAGCCTTTATGAAGGTAATTTACTGATATAAGCACTTTCATTGAAATAGTCGAGCTGAGCTTTTTTTATCAATGTTTGCTCTTTTGATCGAGGTGAACTTTTTTGGTCGAGATGAGCTTTTTTAGCCAAGCTTATCACTTTGATCGAGGTGACCCAGCTAAGCCTTCATAAAGGTAATTTACTGAGATAAGCTATTTGACTGAAGTGATCGAGCTAAACCTTTGTAAAGGCAATTTACTAAAATGAGCTTTTTGGTCGAAGTAGTTGAATTAAGTTTTTGTGAAGGTAATTTACTGAGATGAGTTCTTTCATCGAGGTAGCCAAGATGAGCTCTTTTGATCAAAGTTAGCTTTGTTGGTCGAAGTAAGCTCTTTTAGTTAAGGTAAGCACTTTTAGTCAAGCTGATCACTTTGGTTAATGTGGCCTAACTAAGTATTTATGAAGATAATTTATCGAGATGAGCTCTTTTATCATTATGATCGAGCTAAGCTTTTGTAAAGCAATTTATCAAGATGATTTTTTTTTACCGAGGGACCGAGCTAAGCCTTTGTAAAGGTAGTTTACTAAGATGAGCTTTTTTACAAAGATGGTTGAGATAAGCTCTTTTGATCAAGGTTAGCTCTTTTGGTCGAGGTGAGCTTTTTCAACCAAATTGAGCTCTTTTGGTTGAACTGAGCTTTTTTAGACAAGTTGATCATTTTGGCCAAGGTGACTCAGTTAAACCTTTATGAAAGTAATTTACTGAGATGAGCTATTTGACTGAGGTAGTCGAGCTAAGCCTTTATAAAGGTATTTTATAGATTTGAACTCTTTTGATCAAGCTGAGTTTGAGCTCTTTAGTCGAGTTATTTTATCAAATTAGGCCTTTATAAAAATATTTTATAGATTCGAGCTCTTTTGATCGAGCTGAGTTCGAGCTCTTAGGCTGAGCTGCTTTGTCGAATTAGACTTTTGTGAAGGTATTTTGTAGATCCAAGCTTTTTTGGTCAAGCTGAGTCTGAACTATTTGGTAGAGTTGTTTTGTCGAGTTTAGCATTTATGAAGGTATTTTCTAGATCCGAACTCTTTTAATCAAGCTAAGTCCTAGCTCTTTGGCCAAACTATTTTATTGAATTAGATTTTATAAAGGCATTTTATAGATTATAGCCCTTTTGACTAAGCTAAGTCTGAGCCTTTGGTCGAGCTATTTTGTCAAGTTTGGCCTTTATAAATGCATTTTATAGATCCGAGCTCTTTTGATCGAATTGAGTTTGAGTTTTTAGACCGAGCTATTTTGTTGGATTGGACCTTTATAAAGGCATTTTGTATATTCAAACTTTTTTTTGTCGAGCTGAGTCTGAACTCTTTGGCCAAACTATTTTGTCAAACTGGGCCTTTATAAAAGTATTTTGTAAATCCAAGCTCTTTTGGACAAGTTGTGTCTGAGTTCTTTAGCCAAGCTATTTTGTTGAATTAAGTCTTTATGAAGGTATTTGATAGATCTAAACTCTTTTGGCTAAGTTGAGTCCAAGCTCTTTAACCAAGTTATATTTGAGCTTTTTGATCGAGCTGGGTTTAAGCTTTTTGGCTGAGCTAAGTTTGAGCTTACCTTTTGTAGTGCCATTTTGAACTTAGTTGAGAAAAACCCCTACTTGGCACACCATTTGTTTGTGTTAAGTTCAGGCTGAGAGGAAAAGCTCAAAGATAAGCTCAAAGACAAAAATGAAAGAGTTAAAGGGAAGAGCTCAAAGGAAAGTATGAGAAAGTTAGAAGAAGAATTAGCTCCCCTTTACTTAGAAGAAGTTGGGATATTTATACAAGTTAGCTCAGACTAAATGATCGAAATACCTTTAGTTCAATTGTGAATAATTTTCTTGAGGTAAAAGATAATTATATCCTTATGACTCAAAAATACCCTTAACAGTTTGCTTTGCTACGAACAACAGACTCATGTAGTTACGAATTCACACAGGTCTTTTGACTCTCAGGCCAAACAATTTCAGGCCATTAACCTAAAAGCTTTATAAATTGATAGTATTTCGGTTAAGGATACAAATATGGCCCCAAATGCTATTTGATGCCTCAAATATTGACGAAAAATCACAGCTCGAAGCATCTCTACCCACCTTTTAGTTTGTTTTGATTTGAAATATCCTTTATATGTATATTTTTTAATGTGAACTTGATCATCTTTTACATAAACATCCCATTATTATTAAAATGAAATTTAAGTTTCAATTAATTGGCAATTGTTAAGTTAAACCCTTTATTTTCGATCCATATATTTTTCACATGAAAACTTCAATCCAACTTCTATAACGCATGGAATATTGGAATTTCAATCAATCTAAGGTTTATTAATGGGCCTTGGGGTGAGTTTTTAATGGGTGGGCTCCTTAATAAATTGTAGCTGTTGGAAACCCAAAACCCTGATGGGGTTTAAATTTCCTATTAATCTTTGGGCCTAAACCTACTTTGCCAGGAACATGCTTCCATTCTTTTTTTTCTTTTTCCCTTCTGAAGCTCTATTTCTGTCTATTTTTTATAGTTCATGAGTATTAAATGGAAAAATGAATGGGATAAATGTATAAAAATTGCAACTTGTAGGGATAAATGGATAGGATGATTTATTGTTATTACGAGTAGATAATGAAATCTCACATAGATTGCAACTTGGAGGTGAAAACTGAAAACTAAGCCATGGAAAAGTTGCTAAGCTATCAAAAGAAATGTGTTTATGGTGTTGTTTGTGACGAGCTCTGGCCTGGAGATCTTTTTGAAAAAACAAGAAAAGAAAAAAGCGATTAGATACAAAGGTAAATAGTGTTTTTTACGTTTATATTTTAATGGATAACTTAGAGTTAAGATAAGGGAAGTCAAAATAGAGAAAAGTAAGAAATTAGTATAAGATGGAACTTAAAGATAATAGTATTTAGATATTTATATTTATATTTTGAGGGATAATAATAACGTGATTGAATTGATGTAATATTAAATATATCAGATTGATTTGATATATTAAATTAATTTAAATATTTAAAATAATTTTAATTATTTATTGATAATCTTTTATAAGAAAAAAAAAATCACAATGCCCTTTTAATCATTAAATATTTCAAAATATCTTCGACAGCTCATTTCTTTGCCCAAGTAAGGGAAATTTCCTCAAACCCAAACCTATTGTACTTTGTCGAAATTGCCAGGTTGAATCTTGGTAAGCCTAACATTTTTGAATGTTAACCATCAACATCAATTTCACTTCAGCAAATCTTGCCAAATTTTTTAAAATTTCATTTTCCTTGCAAAAGCCAAAATTTTGATTTTGACATATCTCGTCCAATATGACTTTAGGACAAAGTTAGAATTTATTATACACTCATTTTCTTTAGTACCTAATCTTAATGATAACGACAATCTTAATTGGATTAAAATTTTCTTGCTACAAAGTTCAATGATGATCCATGCTTTGTCTGTCATCTCTATGAATTTAATGATACTTAAGCTAGCTGTTTTCTTCATCATATACCAGAAGTTAGCTGTTTTCGAGAGGTAAAAAATTTTTTCAATGTTAATGTTTATAATCTAATGACAAATATAAATTTCAATGGCTATTTCCCTATATTAAAAGATTAGAGAAAGATCACTTTGAAGACATGCATGCAGGAAAAAGAAGGATTATCCCAATCGCATTTTCCTTTGTCATATCAGCTTACCAATCTTTTTTTATGTATTTAATTACAAACAAAATCACCTTCCTTTTTTTTAAGACATGTTAGGCTAGATATTATTAAATGATTTGGTGTCTTATTCGTTTATCGGAAAATCACTTTCATTTTTTTCTTGTGGTCTGAACAATATATTTGGTCACATCAATTCTTCAATGAAAATATTGAAACAGTTGCTATTGTTGCAGTCAGTCAACATTCCAAGGATATTGTGGCAACATCAAAGCACAAGTTGCTGCTAAAGCAGCCAAATTGTACAAAATAAGTAGAAAATTTGGATTGTTACTCTCACAAATTGTCAGCAAACACGACAAACACATTAATTTATCCGAAAATCCCATAAATTGTTAGGAATTCCAGATTTCAAGTCTCGACTAAATATAAATTTCAGTTTCATCCCTTTTTCTCCATGATTTCCATGTCCAGTTTGCACACTTATTATCCAATTCTTTTAACTCAATTTCTAAGCATGATTTCCATGGTTTGAAGTTTGAACTTGTAAAACATGATTTTAATAAATATGCATTCATATTTGCAAAAATGAAATCATATTTGTTTACAGTCTTGTGGATTTACCCCAAAATCCTATGAGTACTCATCACTATGATCTGTACACTTGTTTTATCATTTATCTAATCAAACACATGTGGTAGTTGTTTTTTTGCTCAGCGGTGACACTCTTGGCAGAGAAAGGAAACTTCCAATGTGATCAAAATGGTTAGGTAAGAGCAAAATTTTGGTGTTGAGCAGAGTGAAAATGATCAAAGTAATGGAGACCAAGACAGAAAATGTTAAAAGAAGAAGCATTAACAGATGTGCAATGTCGCCTTTAACTTCTTCTGCGTATTCCATTGAAGCCAGAGCGAGAACAGACAAGGGAAACGAGTAAGCCCACCACGCCACATTGAACCTTCTCATAGATCTCTTAAACAGAGTCGGCCTGCAAACCTGTTTCAACAGTACCAACATATTAATTGCAAACATAGTTTTAAACTTGGCCTAGCAAAAAATAAACCATGTTTTTATCTGAATATAAATTATAATGAAAAAGAAATTACTTTCAAGCTATGTCATTGTCTTAGTTGACAGTAAATTTTGGGGTTTAAATGAATTACTAGTGACATGAAGAGGAAGAGCGAGAGAAAGAAAAGCATTTTTGATGTAGTATCGAAAGAACCAGCAATCGATTGCCAAGCCAAGCTAGCCATGCTCGGAGCTGCGAAGAACAAAAAGAAAGCCGGCCTTAACATCGTCGGAAGCCTATCGGTGCCTGATAAACGTTGGTAAAGCGTCACGAAGAGCACCAAATAATGCACCATCCCTAGTGAAAAAAACCCAATAGCACTCTCTTTCCACCCCATATTTGCTGCCGCTTGTGCACTGACCAGGTTCCCTATAACTGATAACTGGCTTGTTGGATTTGCTACTGCTGATAAAAACTTCTTTCCTTTGGTAAACCATTGACCATAGATTTTCACATCAAGAACTACAACAGGAACCGCAAAAACCCACCAGAGAACAACGTATGAGTAGTGGTAGTTTGGAGTAAAGAAGGGCCCTGATTGAAGCAAAAGAAGCCAAGAAATCGATGGAGCGAATAGGTAGTTGACTCCTACACGGTGCAAGAACTCTTCTTTCACCATCTTAAAGTAAAATAAACATCTCAAAAGGTAAAGAATTGAAAGCAAAACAAGGGTAAAGAATGAGAAAGACCAGAGAAGAGTAAAAGCTGTGGGATGAAACATATGGAGGGTAAGTCTTAAAGTGCTTGTATCATCGGTTGGGCCTATCAGTGTCTTCCATAATAAAGCTTGGCCACCCAAAGATAGGCTTACCCTAAAATAACCAGCATGAAATTTGGTTAGGATGGAAGTTAATGATTCCTTAATACGCCTAGCAATAATGGTTGAGAGGCAGCTGCTATTTTGAATATGATCAATAGCAACGCTGCTGCTGGTGTGGGGTGTGCCTACCACGAGCTGAAGCTCAGGTTGAGATGTTATGACGGCCATTGGTAGGACTAGGATATGTCAACTTGATCATAAATGTAGGTAATCAGCTCTGTTTTCTGATGTACCATCAGTTTCTGCAGATTTTTCTTGCTAGCAATGGCGCGGATTTATAGAACTCCAGAAAAGACGTGATGGACAGTGATCAATTAAAAAAAACTGATACAACTTGTACGGAGTAATGGGTGAGGTAATAATATAGTGGGATTTTTGTAACTTGATAATGATATCTCATACATATAGTGGGAAAGGCTGCCATCCAATTGGAAAAATGTCACACTTTCTGAAGTTTGAACATCTCCAGTTGACAGTCCACCCAGACAGCTCATTTCTTTTCAAGAGTTCGAAGATTTTCAGCAAATGTAAACCTTTTGTATTTGACAGAATTGCCATGTTGAATCTTGGATAAGCCTAACACTTTTGAATGGATTAACCATCAACAGATCAACTTGACTTTCTTGACATGATTCTTGCCGATTTTCTTTGGTAATTTTGTACTAATTACAAAAGAAACTAATTTGATTTTGACATAACTCGTAACATGACTTGGAAATTGTTATAAACAAAATATAATCTTTTAGCTTTAGCACCACATCTCATTATGACAAAAGCTTAACTTGATTAATATTTTCTTGCCACAAAGTTTCATCCGATCGATTTGATTTATTTGCTGATTATATCAATGCCTTGCTTGTCATCTTCTTCATGAGTTTATGACATTATTTGTTCATTGTTGATGCAACAGTACTTCGTTCTTTTCTTGAGTTCTGTAGCTAGGATTATCAGTCTTTTCATTCGCTCATACCACTAACCCTTTTTCTTTTCTTATGGAGCAACCAATTAATTTCGGAAAAAAGATGCAAAAAAGTGTTGCAGTCAGTCAAACACCGCTGCTGAACATCATAGTGAAAATTGCTAATTAAAGTAGCCGAATTCTTCTATTGTAATCAGTGGAAAATATGAATTGTTATTCTTACGCATTTCCAGAAAATGACAAGGAGATTGTATATACATTTATCCAAAAATGTTATCTTACCTTGAGTAACATAAATATAGGGTGTTTTACTCTTTGATTGAGCATTATAGAATTAAAATATATAAACATAGAATTTATATTTGATGCATATATAAATTTTATACATTATTAATATATTATAAGATGTTACCTCATTAATTAATAAATTTAAAAGTTAGGAGTTTGTGAAAATAAATATTCATAAATTTTATAAATATTAATTAGAGGAAATTAATTACTAAGGTTTTTTTTTTTTTTCAACTTTCTCTTCAACAACTACTTCTTTCTTGCAGTTTTGTCGCGTACTATGCAACCAAGCTAGTGATGGCAACGGGTCGGGTCGGGGCGGGTTTTTACTTACCCCGAATCCGACCCGATTTTAAATATACAATATTCGAACTCGTACCCGATCCAATAATTTTTTCATTTTTAATACACGTACCCGACCCCCGACCTGATAGTGTATAAAATTAAATCCGATCCGAAATAAATAAAATATTATTTTAAATATAAATATAAAATTAAATATATATAATTAAATATAAAATTAAAAAAATAATTTTTTTTTTATATATCGGGTCGGGTAAGGTCGGGTTTGCTTAAAACCCGAACCCGACCCGAACCCGAAAATTTTTTTTTTTACTATACCCGACCCGATACCCGATTTAAAAAAAAAAAAAAAAATCGACCCTAAAAGATCGGGTCGGATCGAAACCCGACGGATTCGGATGATTTTGCCCTCCCTAAAACCAAGCCCCTTTGTTCTGATTTCATCCATCTATATCCCTTTCTAATCTTTAGGAGAAAGAGAGGGTTTTTCTAACTAGCGTCTTTAAGTCACTTTTCAAAATTAATTAAAATATTAAATTACTATTTATAAAAGTTTCCATCAAAATGATTAAAATTTAAAATATTTTAAATTTTAAAATATTTAGTTTGATGCTATGACAAAAAAAAAAAAACCACATATCTCTCCTCAATTTATTAAATTTCAATATCTAATTAATATCCTTAAAGAGTACTCTCAAGCACTCATTAGCAAAACCAAAATCGTTCTAATAATAACTCCATTCATATTGTAAAAAACCATTTTGTTCACAAAATCATATGCTTTTAGCCCACTCATCATTACTTAAATTTCTTTTTCAAAGAGTGGCCAATTTTTTTCTTCTTTAAAGAATGAGACTTGGAATCGTATCATTGTCAACTAAGAGAATTGCAATAAGATCAAACTAAAGGCCACCAAAACTCAAAAGTTGCAGAAGAAGCATTGTATGACCAAGCTTGAGCCCACCAGGCAACATCGTACCTCTCATTACAGGCCCAATTTCTTGAATGTAAACCATCCGGAACCAGATGAAAATGTTCCTATTACTATAGGTCCATTTGTGAACCGGAAAGCCCAAAACCATAACAAAAAGTGATGAACAAGTACTGCAAAGGAAAAATCTTCCATTGCCCTACAATTTATTTGAGAATGTCAGCTGAAAAACTGTAATGCTGCTTGAAAGGGATCATGGTGACAAATTAACAAGTAGTGGTATCGGCTTTTCAAAAAAGAAAAGACCTTTAGGAGAGAAGAGAAAACAGATGTTTCTTTCCTGAGGCATCCTTGTTGAGAGTGAAGAGGGCATAGGTTTATTTCAAAAGTTGAGTAGTAGGCATGTGATAAGGAGTTTGTGTAACCTTTTCTTGAGACAATTATGTCATGCAACGCCCAATTACAACAAATAATATGCTTAAAGTGTAAAAACCTAGTACCCTATACATTTCAGCCTAGAAATCATCTCAATCATGTCCATCACATGCAAAAGCCCAGTGGGTCCACTCTAACCCCATCCCATTTTTGGTCCCACTCTAAACATCTATCTCTCTCTCTCTCTCTCTCCACCAAATGGCCGAAGGGGGACCATCTTCTCTAGTTTACCAAATCTCCCCTACATCCCAAAACAGTAGAATTGTACGTATGTTGTGACATATTAAAGTACGTTTCAAGTTTCAACCCAAGATTTTGCTTAAAAGGGTTCTCAAAAATACGGATTTTTGTATGAACTGAAACTACCAAGGGATGGCAAGAAATAAGGGTGTCGGTAAAGGCTATGAGTCTATGTAGAACCCCCCCCCCCCCACCAATTGCACTTTAAAAATCTTCACCTAATTGGACGCAGTGTCTCCTCTCTGGCCCTCCTTTTTGGTTGAGCTGGGGCTGGGCGACTTTGGTTAAGCTATTAGGGTAGGGCTCAGCTGTGTGTTTGATTTATTCTAATTGAGGCAGAGAGAGAGAGACTTCTCAAAATTAGAGAGGGACCCCTACATGTATTTTGAATAGGATAGTTTATTAGCCAGCCTAGGGTTTACTCTTTTACTGGTAGTTTCTAAAGGCAATTCTTCTGCTGCTGCCGGTGGTGGTGGTGGTGGTGGTGGTGGTGGTGGTGGTGGTGGTGGTGGTGATACTGCTACTATCTTATCTTTGTATTTATGGAAAATCACGTAAATTTCTTTTTTTTTTTTTAGAAGGACGATATTTTCTTTCCAAAAGCTGGAAAACAAAAGACAATGAAGAAAAAAGTTGGCATAGCATTGCATAGATTACATTATTTATTATAAACAAGATTATGCAATTTTAATTTGTAAAACATGCTTCGCCTCCCCAAGGATTGGTAATAATCGAGATTAAGGAGAAGCAAAACCAGGCAGGGCCAGCACAAGGTACCTGAATGATGAAGCAAGGCAACCCCACTTGGCTTTTTCGATAAAGAGGATCGAGAGGTTTCAATAGTTTTATTATGCAGCTCTTTTCATTTATTCCCTTCCCTTGAATCTTCATTGGAAATTAAACTAGTGAAAGGTGGTTTCAAGTGTATATATTTTGTTCATAAAAGGTCATTGAAGACCCCAAGAAAAAAAATCCCCAAGTTTGTATACTCTTTGATTTGATGATTTTCTTTCTATTCAACGACCAAGTTGGCGAGCATCATCTGACCATGATGGTAAGTCTAGTTTGACGTGACTCGACCCAACCCTCTTCCAAATTCTCACTGTTTTCTTTTGAACTTTTAGGGTTTTTCTTTCTTTTCTTTCATATTAAATATATAACTGTTATTCTCCTCATTTCCTTTAAAAACTTTTTGGGGTCAAGAAAATGTTCAAACGCCATAGAAATATAGTGAAAATACAGTTTTTATAGTTCTATTTTATGTCTGATATATAGGTCTTTCGTAGGTCATATTGTTCAATCTTTTGAACAACAAAAATTTTGGCTTTGATGAACACTTTTGTCTTTCCCTTTATTTTTTCTCTTTCCATAGGACGGAAAGCTAATGATCAGTAATGAGAGATCAAAAAGAGCATATAGAAACCATCAAATGATTATTGAGTCTTTTGCTAAATGGATGGCTAAGCTTAGCTTTGTCGAGTTCATGATGAAACGAGATGACTAGTCCCACCTTCGTGAATGAAAAACAAAATCGAATCAATATTACTCCAAAACATCAGATCTCTATCATTAAAATATCCCAAAAAAACCGAAAGTAATTGTGTTGATGATAAAAAAAAAAGTAATGTTAAAATTTTTAATATCAAAAATCAAATTTAATGTTTGATAATTGATAATTACTCGAGAGCTGCTTCGAGTGCAACTCGACCGTTTGCATAATGCAATAATGTCAAAATACAAAGGAAATTCAAGTGTTGAATGGGAAACCATGGCCCTGAGAGAGTCAACCAGCAGAAAGCAAGCGCAGGGCTCGAGAGTGAAATTAGACAGGGACACAATTATTGAGACACACACATCATTCAATCTCCAATTAAAACCCACGTCTGTTCTTTTTTTCTCTCACTCTTTCATGTCTTGGCCTCCCCTTTTATCTTTATATTATACCCATTTTGGCGTTATGTCGAATTTATTTCACTTTTGACAACGGATGGTTTGCTTACTTCTGTATAGCCGCTTAACTTTCACTCAATTTGAGGCTATTGGATCGTTATCTGGAACTCAAATTTGGATGCTATGTTATCCACTGTAATCTCTCTTTTAATTTGTGCTTTTTTTTTGGTTCCTATATGTTTGCTTTGATAAATCAAATTCAACTTTCATTCTTAATTTTTAAAATGATAGTATGAGAAATTAAAAGTTTTACCTTAATTTGAACCCATAAATAATAATCTAAAATATAATCTGTAAAGATGAGTTTGATTGACAAAAAAATAAAATTAGGAAATGATTTAAGGCAAAAAAAGTACTTGTATGGTTATATTAATCAAAGCAGATATATTCATTCATTTGGTATTGGATAAACATGTAAATTACATTAAAAAAATTACAAGAGTGATTAAGATTTGAAAATAAAAAATTATAAATATTAAATTTATTAAATATTAATTTCTAAAAATAATTATATAAATAAATTAAATTAAATTTGAATTTTGGGTTAACTTTTAAAACTCTCATTGCTCATGGACAATATAATAGTTGGCTTTCATTTTGTTCATTATATTGATATATAAATATAAATATAAATATATATATGTGATGTGATAAACAAAAGTATATAAAAAATAAATAATGGTGAGAAGTGACACATCATGATGATAAACTCCATTGAAAATGACTTTGATAACTTCCCTAATCTCTACAATAAAGTCAAAAAGAACCTAAATTAGTACAAGTTGCAGATAATAAGTTTCTCTTTAATGGCTCAATGAGGTCCCAAAGAACCTTTTGAAAGGAGTTAAACCCATTAGCCAACCCTAATCTAATACCCAATAGAGAATTACAACACCCCAGGGTAGGCATGATAGAGCAATCAAGTCAAATTTTTCTTTAAATATAAACAACCAATCACAGCCATGTAACAAAAAATAACCTAATTTCTCAACTGGTTTAGAGTTAGTGTTCCATTAAAGATTATTTAGAGCAAAATTACGTATAAAATAAGAAAATAAGGAATCGAAAATCAAGAACATTTAAAGGGGAAAAAGGCTGGTTAGGTTCCTCAAATTTTGGATGAGCCTTCTGCAACATGAAATCCAGGCACTCCTCTGCTGCAAAAGAACGTAGCTTTCATCGTACCTCGAAGAGGGATATGTAGTAAGTAGCAGCAGTAGTAGTAGTAGTTCTTTTCATTGGTGTTCAGAAAAAGGCAATTTAGACTCCCTAGTTAAAAATAATAAGGAGATCATCAGCATCAGCCCTAATATTTTTCATCAAAGTTAGGAGCTCCATGTCTGCTACTATATTGAAATAAACAGTCTAATCTAATCGAATATTAGCCAATGCAGACAAGAAAAAAACAATGTAAAGAGAGTCCACAGTAAAGGAAACAAAAAGTTCATTGCCTCGGGCCCCTAATTACAATTAGCATTAAAAATTAGCAACTTTTTCCATTGACAATTTTTTTAGATTAATTAAAGTTCCATTTGAATGACAATAAAATTAATTTCAGTAGAATTGAAAATAATACTAAAAATTATTATAATTATGATTAAAATAAATTATTATAATTATAATTAAAAAATTTAACAAAAAAATTATATTAAAAATTTTTTTATTAAAATTGATACTTAAATTTAATTGATAATGTAATGAATTTAATTATGTTTTATCGAAGGTGTTGTGAAATTCAAACTTAAACTAAGTTTGAAGGTTTTTTTTTCAAAGATAATTTATAATCATTGACACACAACAGGTTAATCGGTTGATAAGAAAAAAAAATTGTTAATTTAGGTTCAATTTTTGTGAATAATATTTCAAAAATAAAAATTTGATACGTCAAATTTTTATAAAAAATTTCTTAAAATTATTCAAGAATATACTCACACAAAATTTAAAGGCACTTTAACCGAAGGAAAAAAAATATGATTAATAATTATCGAGATTACTTTATAATAATAAAAGTTTGATTAGGCAAGACAAAGCCTGTTTGTTAAGCGGCGGTGGTGTCCGATTGGGGGACTAAGGCCACTGACCGTACCTGTTCATAATCATAATTATTATTGATTAATTAGTTTAAGATCCAATAATTAGTGGCCGCTAATTTCACGCGGTTCCACGTGATTGTTCGATTATGAGGTCACTTTGGTCCAGGGGTAGTGAAGTCATTTTCCAGTTTGGCACTACGATTTTTATTTAACTATAATATGGTTTCAACTTTAACAGATCTAATAAGTGTATTTATTAATTAAAATTTAAAGATTTAAGTTTTATCATTTATTGAATGTCGATATATATATATATATGTGTGTGTGTGTTTGTGAAATAAACGTAATAATTCAAAATTAAACACAATTTGATAATGCAATTACTTCTATAAAACGATACACAGTGATTTAAATTTTAAATCACAATATCTATTATAATTTTTAATCCAACCTTCTTTTTTAAGAAAAAGAACATAGTTAGGGACACGATTTTTCCTAATTTTATGGTAAACGTTAGTGTAAAAATGTTGAAATATTCAAGGTCATGACAATATTGCGGTCTTTGTCTGCTCTTTTCAAGTCTTTTTATACACACGTATATTATATAAGGTTGAACAATTATACCACGTACCACCATATATTATTATTTTTTATTTTTTTGAAATTATAATCATAATCAAATATTATATTAATGTAATCATTTAAATAATTATTTATTGTATCATAACTAAGTTACAATCACTGATCAATTACCAAATTAGAATATTTACTAGTAAAGAGAAGAAAAAATTTTGGATGGCTTTGAACGGTTGGTGCATGACTTAATTGAATTCATATTACATTTGTAATTAGCTATTTTCTTGCCGTTTACAAGGTCAATTCAATATGTAAAATCTTTTTCCTTGAAAAAATGTACAAGTTCTTTCAAAAAAATAAATTAAAATATAACTAAACAATCAAACTTATAAAATGAGACTTGAATCTAGAATCTCGTAGTTTTAAAATAATGTGAATGAATGATGATCAATTAGTAATTGAAAGGGTTTAGTAATTGATTACTATTGTGGGTTAATTTAGAATTAGGTTATGATTTTTTTTTTTCATTTTTATTTATTGAGATATGAAAGTTGAAGGGCATTGCTTGTACAAAATTGATTTTTGTTAAAACCTAGAAAAAAGCTTATTCGTCCCCAATTCTTTTAAATTTACAATTAATTGACAACTCTTTTATGAAAAAAAAAATGATAATAATAAATTATTTTCAATAGTTATCATATAATCATTTTAAAAGAATCAACTCATGTTTTAAGAGTAATAAAAGTACTAATTAGCAAATTTCATGTATAGGCAATGAACAAAAAAAAAAATATCAAATTTTAGTAATGGAAAAAAGAATATGTTTATTAATTAAGTGGTGAAAAATATATATTTTTTGTTTCGTAACGTAACTGATTTATATAAAATATCATCTTTTATCCAAAGAAAAACAAAAAATCTTGCTACCTATCGTCCCATATAAATCAAGAGTCTAGCCATAAAATTAAAAATGATAATACGTTTGAATGCGAGAGGGAGAAGAAATCATCACTAAAAAAGAAAAAGTTGCATTATTTTTACCAAAAATACTCCATCACATGAAAAATACATTCCAACAAATATATAAACTTTTGTGTCTTGCCACACCTCAATCCATCAATCAAATGTGAACTTAGAAAATAATATAAAGTTTTTCATCATATAGTTCAAATTAATCACATGAAAGTAATGTGAAGCAAAATGAAAATCATACCAACATATTATTTTCATCATTCATTCATGAGGCATAGCCACTTTTTTTTACCAAAAAATTATAATTTGAAAATAAAAAAGTATTATGTTAAATTTGAATTCAAAATTTATTAAATATTATTTAATAATAAATTGAATTAATTTTCAACAAAATTGAATTTTGCATGTAATCACTTTGATATTCGTAAAATAAACCTAATTCTATTGAATACAACTTCAAAGGTGTTGACCTATATGGCTGAAACGGAATGGTTTTATATTTTAATTTAGTTTTTTTAATGAAAAGAAATTGTGAAAAATGTGATTTTGGAGTCATGATAAAATGATTGCATGAAGAATTTTGAGGGGAATACGAGGCATTGACGGGAAAATAAATTAAAAAAAAAAAAAAAAAACCCGCACGAGAGCAGGTGAGAAAAATCGACACCGAATTGATTTATTCACTACGCAAATATTTCATTTGGTGACAGGCAAGTCTTTCACCGTCGGATTTGGTATTTGTCACGGATGTTAAGGGATACCTCTGTCTGTGACACTTAAAGAAAATGAAAAGGGTAACGCTTTGGTTTTTCTTTTAATGTTAGAATTAGATTGCTGGTCATATTAGAAGATAAAGAAAAGAAAAAAGGAAAAATAAATCCCTATTACGGGGACAGTCAGAAAAAGTACTAGCGGGTTTTCCGGTGCAAGGAAGAATAGGGAAAAGCTGACCCCATGCCACGTGGGGGGACAGGGAACGTACGATGGACATGCAACGGCGGAGATTCAAACCTTTAGTTGATTAGATTCATTGAAACTGGAAGAGAACTGTAGAGAAGTGCCCTGTGAGTAAATTTTCTTGCATCTTTGCCTTTCTGTTCTCTCTCTCACTTACATTACTCAACAAAAACCGGAGATTTATAACAAGGTTTTTTAGACAGAGATAGAAAGAGAAAGAAATGGTTTTTGTCATAAATGAGGTGAGAGGGTAGCAGAGAGCGCGGTGCAGTTCTCATGGCGGCGTTGCAGGCGCTCTAATTCCGAGCCATTATTGCTCGGAATTGAAGGGGGAGAGAGACAATTGGGGGGATAACTTGAGGAAGCCATCCTTATTTTTGTTCGGTTTATCCTATAAAAAGAAAATCTTAATCTAAAAGGTTTTTAACCTCAAAAGGTGAAAGCCCAAAGATCAGAGAAGAAGAACCGGCTATTCTACTTAAATTCTAGTCATACAGGGTGAGGGGTCGGGGGGTCGATCAGGGTTCAGACATAGCGGAAACAACAAAGATCGGGTCAAAACAAATCCCCCCCAACAAACACTCGTAGACTACCACTGGTCTTTAAAAACCCACCAGAAAAAGCTTCCACAGTTGAAACCCATAAAGACCCCGGGGAAAATCCAACCAGCTCATCACACTAGTGATCTGGGGGTGGGGAGGAGGTACTAAATAGGGTGTTTCTGCTATGGATTTTTGGTCCCAATTGAGGTTGGTTTCTGCTTTTGGGTGTAACAGATGGCTGGCTTCTTCTATCTAGGTGGACGAGAAGGAGCAGCAGTAAACAAACAAGGAGAAGATAAAGAAGAGAACCTGTATTTGTACAGAAACGAGGAGATCTACAACAAAGGGTTTGAGATATGGCCACAGTATTATTATCAACAACAGCAAAACGTGAACAACTACTCGTTTGGAGCGGGTCCTAGTCGAAGAACTAGTGGGTTTAACCTCTCTGATGAGTCGTCTTCGAGATCAGCAGGTTTTACGGTTATGAGACAAGGAGGCATGAACTGTCAAGATTGTGGAAACCAAGCTAAGAAAGATTGTGCACATTTGAGATGCAGAACTTGTTGCAAAAGCCGAGGGTTTCAGTGCCGAACTCACGTTAAGAGTACTTGGGTTCCTGCTGCTAAAAGGCGAGAGAGGCAACAACAACTCGCAGCTTTGCAACAAACACAGCAGCAGCAAAATCAACAAGAACACCAACAACAGTTTCGAGGAGAGAATCCAAAAAGGCAGAGAGAGAATCAAGGTGCTCCCTCTCTTGCCTGCACTCGTTTATCCCCTACTACGTCAGGTAAAGTTGTTGTTTACAATACAAACAAAGACAAAACCAAAACAAAACACACAGGAAAAAAGAAACTAACATCAAAGCAAGATTGATATATTCTTTGAAATGATATCTTGGAAGGTCTATGATGGAGAATTTTCAAGAACCGTGTATTGCAAACTTTGCTATACAAAGTTTAATTTGGTAAGATCTTGAGGAATTCCCATGACTTCCAGCAGTACTAGTACCCCAACAAGCCCGTATCATTTGCGTGTAAGAAAGTCCACCTCCATAGTCACCAACCCAACTGCTTTTCCTTTGCTTTTCTTCTTTTTGCATTAATTCTGCCCTGTTTGTTGATGAAACTGACGAAAAGTCGCATAATATTCGGAAAAAAATTCAAAGAAAACCTCTTTATTCTCGTCTCTTCATTTTAGTAAGGATTTTTAGCTCTTGATTGATTTGGTTTTTATTTTCTTGTTTGACTTTGAAAATTAGGGTTGGAACTGGGTCAATTCCCTCCTGAAGTGAGTTCTCCAGCAGTCTTCCGCTGTGTAAAAGTAAGCGCTATGGACGATGTAGATGAGGAGTTCGCTTATCAAACGGCTGTGAATATCTCAGGGCATGTATTCAAAGGAATTCTCTACGATCAAGGCCCAGAAAGTCGTTACACAAGTGGTGGTGAGACCTCTCAGCAACTCAATCTCATCACAGCAGCAGCTACCACTGGTGCAGCTGCTACAACGACCACCGCTGTTACTTCGAGCAATCCAGGAACAAGTATGCTTGACCCTTCTCTTTATCCAGCTCCACTTAACGCTTTCATTGCTGGTACGCAATTCTTCCCACCTCCGAGGTCTTGATTTACAGGCCTGTCTCCAAATGTTCCACTCTCTCTATAGGAGGAGACCCTTCCTTTTTAACAAAAACTTTCTTTTGTCCGAAACGACTCTTGATTGTTGGTCTCTAGCTCTCATTGTCATTTGTGGTCCTTTTTTACTCTAGTATTGTTAAATGTTAACACCCACCGAAGTAGACAGCATAGAATTTGAATGAGAATAGAAACTGAGAATGCATATGATATTGGGGGATGTTGGTTTTAGTTTTCGAATTTCAATTCAGATTTCCATGGTTGTTTTTTTATCCGATCGATGAGTAAAAGCAGTCCTTTGTTTTTTTTTTTTTTCGATTTGAGTGTACTTAGTATAGCATGTGGATGAGTGCTTTTTTGGGTGTGAATTATTTTTTGGTTTCATATTGGATTTCTTTATGGATTTTTAAAACATTTTTTCTTCTTTTTGTGCATTTGATTGATCTTGAATCTGCTTTGGTGTTGAGGACTTCGCTTTTTCCCATTTATCCGTTTGCTTGGCAGATGGAAATGGGACGAGAAAATTAGGTTTCGTGTTCGGCTAAGCAAAGAATTTTAGAACCCTTTTCTCCTTTAAATTTTTAACTCTCTCTAAGGAATTCCTGAAGAAAGAGAGAGAAAAAAGGGAAGCGCATGAAACAGCTTTACAAATCTTTCATGCATTGGCAAATGAAAACCTGGCAATGAATTCCAAAAAGCAAAACCATTAAATTTTATCTCCCTCTCTTTCTTTTTCTGATAGAATGTACGTATCTTGTTCGTATATTGTCAAACTTTTTATACGTAAACATATTAAGTTTTATTGGGCATTTATATCAGCTACTCATTTCTGCAAAAGAAAATCAAATTCAGCTACTTAAATAGACGTGCATGGATGTGACCCTTTGCTAGAATGGAAACCGTTGCTCATTAGCCGATAGTTTTTAATGCTTCTCTGCATCTATGTGCATGTGATTTATGTTATATTTAGTCTGAGACTAATGATCTAGGCCAAGGTCGTACGAAGGAGTTAATGGATATCTAGAGAGATGCTTCTGTTTGTAGGCTTCTAGAATTATCACATGGGGAAGAAACAGAAAGATTATGCTAAGTCTTGTAATTTCTGACTTAAAAACATGTGCTCTGATCATCTTCAATCATGAAGATGATGTTGCACCCTTAACTGATGAACTTTTTTGATGCGATGTTGTTTTCGCTGCTTTTAGTTTTATTATCATTTGTAGTAATCAACTATAAGGGAGGAAGCTCATGTAGGCTGTGATCAAAGATTGTTCAATGCATTTTTATTATAAATTGGACCTTTAGTAGATTGATATGTTATATCATGTAAGTTTTTTATTAGGGAATTGGAGATTCAAAGATTTTTTTTTTTTTTTTTTATCATGGAGTGTTTAAGGATTCATAACCTTGTCCATGAAATGAATGATACTAGCATTTATACCCAAGGCCGATGCTTAAATATACAAATAGGAAAGAACACAATCTTAGATTGTAGGAAAAATAAACTTGTAGGAAAAGATTCAAGCTGGATTTTATGTATGCCATAGAGGAAATAATGAAATTATAGCCTACTTGACCTAGAAGCAACATTATTTTTCCTTACATCTTCATTTCCTGTTGCACTTTTTTAATTTATCCTGCAATGTACTAAGGATGGAATTGCACTATTCGATTTTCAAAACTGAGACTGGTCAAGAATTCATAGGTTGGATTGAACTTATTATTATACATTCAATTGATAGTAAATGAAAGGGTTAATCCGAATATAAGATTATAAAATATTAAAAATTTATTAGATGTAAGATAATTTATTTTAACTGACTTTTATCACGTATATGCGAAAATAAAAAATGTTTTACATGATAAATTAGAAAAGGATAGTAGAAAGAAATATTGACTTTGATATTATGTTAAGTATATAATTTAAAACTAATTGAAAAGGATCTCAATTTAAATATAATACTATAAAATATTGAAAATTTATTAAATATAGAATAATTCATTTTAACACATGATAAAAAAAAAAAAAGTGAATAGGCACAAAAATTAGATAAAGGGAAGAGTGAGAAGAAGTCAAGATTCACAACCTTGAGGCCGAAAGCTGCAACCCAAATAAAATGAGGGTTTCGAATAAAACAACAATGACCAACAAAAAAGCTGTTTTGCTCCACAACCGTGGACGTTGCATCAATTCCATTACATGAAAGATAAGAGTGCAAGTTGCTTTTCTTGATCTTTGTCACTAATAATTTGACAGTTTTTACCAGGTTTTCTGTTATTTTCACCACATAAATGTAAGAGAGATGCAAAGCTATAGTTATTGAAATGAAATAGCTAGCACGTCTAGTTTGATTCTATCGACCCAGGGAACAAGTTGTTAACTTTCTTTCTGATGATTATATCAGGGTTAGAACCTAGAACAGTAATATTACGCGTGAGTTTCTATTGTCTTGTCATTGAGTTAGTCTATATTTTCCTAGTGCTCTTTATTATTATTATCCTTTTCTGGACTTTGTTTAGTGGGGTTTCTCTCATCAGTATAATTCAGCGTATCAATTAGGTTATTATAGAAATTTCTGCATGCTAAATTACTATGCAAAATATAATTTAATGTAGTCCAGGTTAATTAATTACTGTTTAAAATCTCGAAGTAAAATTAAATTGTTCTTACAAGTTACTGCTTTAAAAAAAATCAAATTTGAACGTAAGATTTAATTTAATTAATTTGTGTAATTATTTTTAAAAAGTAATATCCAATAAATTTAAAGTTAAAATCTAAGTACATGCATGCAATCTCTTTTTGTATTTTCAAATTATGGTTTCTTATAACAAACAAAAAGGCAAATAAATTTAGTGCCCTAATTTTTTGCTTAGCTGTAAGGAATAAGATGATTGTATTGCCGTTAATGCTGTAATTAACTTTCATTTATTGTCGATGGTCAAATTAAATCATAATGCTTATTGGTTAATCAATTAAGTATAATTATGATTTAATTAATGTAGACGGTCCATTTATAATTGAATGCCGCTGTTCGAATTATAATAGGATCTAACCAAGTTAGCAACTATATATACTTGACAAAACTCTAAAATGGTACTTAGAATGTCGTTTTGCTAGGAGATTCATAGGGGGTTGATTGATTCTTTTTCCTCCTTTGCCTTTTTCAACACCCGCAATAAAACACATGTAGTTTCAACTATTCCTCATGCTATTTTATGCAGATCTTGATAATTACTAACAAATTTTAGTTCCTAAAGCATAGAATTCATAGTAGTAATTGGGATTTCTTATCTTAATATGAAAAGTATTTTTTTTCTTGGGAAGACGAGGCAAAACGTAATACTTTAGCGGCATGCATGGCTAGCTAATGCTAATGCTAATGCTTTATTTATTATTTATTTTTTTTTGCATTCTCTTGGATAATAGAGGTCTAAGTTTCACGGCATCTGTTTGTCCACTTTTTTGGATGTGGGCAAATCTAAATTTACGATATCATCTCTTAAAAATAATTATATAAATTAATGAAATTAAATTATTTGAGTTTTATTTCGTAATATTTTTCATACATCATGAATAATGACAAAATAATTGTAACATAAAGTGCAAGTCCAACCTTAAAGTTTCGAATAGTAGTATCATGAGTAAATATACTCTCACCTTGAAGAGAAAACCTTAATCTAAAGTTTAAATAGAGATTAGAGACTAATTATGTGCAATATTTGAGAGAATTAAGAAACCTATTCCTTTTATTTCAAAAAAAAAAAAAAAACCAATTCCTTTTTCAAGCAAAGTATATAATATCACACAAGACAGTGGGTAAAATTTAATTGGGTGCGGTGCCTCACCTACCTTAACCTTAGTAAGAGCAAATATTTATGATTATTTGTTTTAGAGCCCAAGGCCATTTCCCCAACCTTAAAAGCTGTCCAAACTTAATTGATTCGTATCCTAGTATTAATTTCTCTGTAAGTAATACTTTATATGCTCCTTTTTGTCATGTTCTCCTCCTTCTATTTATTCTTTGAATTATATATATATATTATATAGATTTTATAAAGTTAAATATAGTAAAAGTATTTTTAATCTTGGCTGTTGTTTCATGTACATGTCCACATTTAAATTTGAATTTGGTAAACTTGTAAGTACCTACTTGTTAATCTCTAATAAATCATCTTAAATTTGTTCGAATGAAATTTATTAATTATCAGTGCCACTTTCCAATCTCATTTAACTTTGTTTTATTTTCACCTTTTACAATTTTGACTCTTATTTTTAATATTACACTAATGATTTTATTTTTTTAAAAAAAGAATAAGTCTTAAAAAGTAATATTATGTATTAGAAAGCACCGTATATTAACATATTCGATGAGGCAATTAAATTCATAGTTGGTGATTAATCTTTTAAAAATATTTTGCATGTGGGATGGGGAAAATTTCTAAGAATATTCATCCGAAAGAATGACAACATTAGATGCATCTTAAGAATATGCATGGTACCTAATTCTTCAATGGAATGACTTCCATCCCTTCTCAAACCATATAACCCATCAGCTTGAAACCTAATTTGATGTGTGTCTCGTAATTAGCAGGTAAGATCGATCGGCATTCAATTGGTTTTGATTAATGATTAATTATCTGCCTTAATCATTCTAGTAAGCAACAAGCAAGTCATAAATCACAAGATTCTTTTCTTGGAAACAAGAATTAAATCGGAAAACATGCTTTGTTGCTTTTCAACATTGAGACAATTGAGAGAGAAGATCATCTCATCTTGGCTATATTAATTTGAGAGTAAACAAAAGAGGCTCCCATTAGCTGACGAAAGCTAACTAAGTTTGGCGTAATCATTAACCATCAAGAGCGAGAGTGCTGATATGTTTCTTTACAGAAACTTCCCAAATTATTGAATCGACAGGAGAAAAAGAGAGGATTGGTCCCTATTCATCCTTACAAAGCAATGGGAGAAAACAAGGGCAGTAGAGGTGTCCAGTAGTTTTAGGGTTTCCGACAATAGGCAGTATAGGGTTGGGAAGTAAGGTTTTGGCATATGACAGGTCGTCGCCAGCGGCATGCGAATCTACTGCGCTCGGACTAGCCACTTTGCTTCTTGGCTGTGTTGCTCGATCGGCCCCAAAATTGTGGTCCAAAACTCGGTTTTGTTTTCATGACGATGTAAAATCGTTGGGATTTTCCATGCCAAAAAAGATAGCTGGCCTGCTGTTTGCATGTAAAGCTAAGCTCACACAGCATGCACTGCAGGCTACACTCTCTGAGGCGTAAGGATTTAATTTCCGATCGTAACTTTACTTTTTTATATATATATATATATATATATTAAGTGAACCTTTAGATTTTCTTTTGATATACGAGTACAAGGCTGAATAATTAGTGAATATTTTTTTTAGATTTATGTTTATAAGATTTAAATTCTTATGACTAACATTATTTTTTTATTTAATGATAGGCATATTACATACATATATATATTAAAAACTCTTGATGGTATGAACCCGTGACATAAGTAGCATTAAAGCCTACGTGAATATGTAAACATGATTTGTTCTTTGGTTGCAAAAAAAAAAAAAAAAAAAACAAAAAACAAAAAAATAAATTTTAATGATAATCGTTACCCGGTCTTCTTGGGCCCATATGTCAACATTTATTTGGGTTAGAAGAAAAAAGTCCATTCGATTTAAATTTCTATTCTTTTTATTTTGGAGAAATTCTCTCTCCAATTTTAAAAAATTCCTTAATGAGTTTGGACATAAAAGTTTAAAGATTTTAAAAATAAAAATATTTTAAAATGTATTAATTAAAAAATTCAGCACACATAGTTTATTGTGTGAATAAATATTTTTTAAAAAATTTTGATTAGATAAAAAATAATTATAAAAAAATAATATTAAAAATAACACAAATTAAAATTTGAAATATGGATATCATTAAATTTATAAAAATGTATGGATATTATTACTAATATGTAAAATAAAAAAATATTAAAGTTAAATTAAAAAGTATTTTATATTTTAAAATTTATTTTTTATTGTCATCATGTGAAATAAAGTGAGAGAATATTAAGATGAATTTAAAAAACCCACATCTTTAAGTCAATTTTAAGAAAAATTTTCAGATACTTCAAATTCTCTCTTAATATTCTTCCTAAATTAAAAAAAAAAAAAAAATTTTGGTTTAAAAATTTTCTTGATTGAAATTCATAAAAGGACGTGCCAGTTGACCAACCGCTGACTTTTATATTCCACAGTTCGATCTGCATAGCAAAATATCACGGGACCGTTAAACGTTGATGACATTCCATTGCACCGGCACTGTTTAGTAAATGTTCAATTTTCTTTACCGTCCACTAAAACAAGCGCGTGAAACGACGGTGAAACGGAAACATTATAAACGGAAGGCATGAAAAAAAAAAAGAAAAAGGCATAAACGAACAAGCAAATTCATTCACCCGTGGTCGTGAGACGCCTGAGGATCGATCTCCGGCGAATTTTCTTCGGCTACGAATCTCCCTTTACATACATCATACATTTTGCATATAGATTTAATTTTTTATAATAAAAGTAAGAACAATTGTGAATAATTCTTAGATCTTTAAAATAATGGGAGAGGGAAGACAGCGTCCGACGATGGATCTGCTGCGGTCGGAGCCAATGCAATTGGTGCAACTCATCATCCCGATTGAATCAGCTCATCGCACCATCTCTTATCTCGGTGATCTCGGCTTCTTTCAATTCAAAGACGTTAGTTTCTTCCAATTTCTTGATTTTCTTTTTGAATTTTGAATTATCGTTGAAAAATCTATAGATTTAATGTGTTTTAGATTCACTTAATTTTCTTTGGAATTTTTTCCTTGCAGCTTAACTCAGAGAAGAGCCCGTTCCAACGAACATACGCTTCACAGGTCAGCCTTTATTTTCACAATTTTAATTTATCTTTTCATGAAATTCTGCCCTCAAATGGCCGTTTTGAATCCTAATTTGAAATTTTTCATTCTTATAAAATGCATATATTACATAAATTTGCGGAAATTATTGGGAATGTTAGATGAGAAACTCTGCCAGGATATGACCTCATAAAATCTTATGAATACTTGGAGATATATGCTAATTTTAGGAAATTTATTGTACTTTAATGTGTTATTTTATCATGCAGATCAAGAGATGTGGGGAAATGGCACGCAAGCTACGTTTCTTCAAGGATCAGATGACGAAGGCTGGTTTATCACCCTCGGTTAGATCTGCAATGAATGACAGTGTTGATTTAGACAACTTAGAGGTATAACGGTTGCTTTGGATTTTAACATTTTCTTTGTTCTATGGAAAAGTAACTTTACATGTGGGATTTCTAGGTGAAACTTGGAGAGCTTGAATCTGAGTTGATAGAGATGAATGCAAATCATGAGAAGTTGCAACAAAGTTACAATGAACTAGTAGAATATAAGCTAGTTGTGCAGAAGGTATGCCGACATCTCTTGGTTGCTTGGTTGCATTTTGTTGGTTATTAAGGCAGTAGAAGCGAAAATCTTTAATTCCATATTTCCGTATAATTGGCTTATCACCTTTCTACGTAACTTATAGAAGTAGCCTTATGATTCCATAATGATTGATTACAGTGGTATTGTTTTCTTATGTCAGGCTGGTGAGTTTTTTCACTCAGCTCAGAGCAGTGCTGCAGCTAAGCAGAGAGAAGTTGAAGCTCAGCAAAGGGGTGAAGGATCCATTGACAGTCCATTGTTACTGGAGCAAGTATAGTTTCAGTTTGTGCATTTTCTATATTAGTATTACTGATGCCTTTTATTTTTCTTTAATGATTCTTAGGGTTATTTTGTAGGAAATGGTCACTGATCCATCAAAGCAAGTTAAGCTGGGATATGTCAGTGGTCTTGTCCTAAGAGAGAAATCACTGGCTTTTGAAAGAATTCTGTTTCGGGCTACCAGAGGGAATGTCTTTTTAAAGCAATCTGTAGTTGAAGATCCTGTCACTGATCCTGCATCTGGGGAGAAGGTTAATACCTGTATTTACCATTATAGATCTAGAATTTCTCAGAGTGTCCTTCACCTATGGTTCTATTAATGCATACCTTTTTTTAATTACCGTCTTCACCTAGAAGTTTTGTTTGTATGACATCAGTTTGCTACTTGTGTCTATAAGTCCATGTGTTACTGTAATCATCTCCTTTTAATCATGCTTGTTTTGCTTTTTTGCATCAGTTTTATATTCAGAGATGAGAGAACTTTACTGTTTTATTTGCAATTACAGGTTGAGAAAAACGTGTTTGTTGTCTTTTATTCTGGTGAAAGAGCGAGGAACAAAATTGTGAAAATTTGTGAAGCTTTTGGAGCAAACAGATACCAATTCACAGAGGATCTGGGCAGACAATTTCAGATCATTACAGAGGTATGCTTTATACAATTTTTGTATTCAGGAGAATCAGGAATCACATATAAATGGAGTTTGAAGCTTGAGGATAGAGCAAGCAGTTTTGTTGTTACTTTCTTTCTTGTTTCTATGCATCTCTCTCTCTCTCTAGTTCTTTCGGTTTGAAAGGGCTTGGGGGGTGAAATAATTATGATGTTCTGGAAATCATCAATTAGTCTAAATCTATATGATGGAATTGGTATTTAAATTTGTTCCTGAAGAGGAGTCTTTATTTTGTTTGTTGGCCTGCATTGGTTTTTTACCTTATTTTAATTCTTGTGGAGGTCTGAATAAGATTGTTGTCTTTGGTTAAAAGAATAGAAGGCAAAGCCTAATTCTAAAGTTGTGACAGAAGCAAAAATAAGCACCTTGAGCAGGGTAGCATTGTTGAAAGGAAACCACCTATGACATAATGCTGAAAGATGATAATAAGTTAATGATATGCATAGGTCTTGATAATATTAAAAGGTTCCACAGAGCTCCTTTTTTTTTTTTAATGTTTGGACATAATAACCAGTTGTAGCTCTAACCTGTTATGTGAGCATTTTGCAGTTTCAGATTTTGTGTACTTTTATCGTTGTACTTTGCTTCATCGAATGGGTGCCAGGGTCTACAGTTTTTCTTGTCAAATAAAGAACAATCTGAATTTTTAACCACTCTTATGTATAGGTATCTGGAAGACTTGAAGAGCTTAAAACTACTATTGATGTTGGACTTGTGCACCAAAGCAACTTGTTACAGACAATTGCCTATCACTTTGAGCAGTGGAGCCTTTTGGTTTGTTGAAATTGATTTTATTGCTTCTTTATTAAAGCATATGCTTCCATCTATATTTTAACTTCATGTCTGTATGGTTGCATGTCAGTTTCTTTGGCTGGCTTAACCTATTTTGAGTTCTTTTGAACTCTATGCTTTCTTAACTCACTGAACCTTGTTTTTTTCTAATGTATGTAGGTGAAGAAAGACAAATCCATATATCACACTTTGAACATGCTCAGCATAGATGTTACAAAAAAATGTCTTGTTGCAGAAGGTTGGTGCCCTGTTTTTGCAACAAGCAAGGTCTGTTTTTTGAACCTGTAACCATTTCTTCTCTGCTGCATAGCATTCCTGCTTAATTGCACTAACCAAGTTGAAAAATGAAAATCTAATCATCTTAGGCTTGATTTTGCAGATTCAAAATGTGTTACAGCAGGCAACCGTTGATAGCAATTCACAAGTTGGGGCCATATTTCATGTTCTCCAGACAAAGGAATCACCTCCAACCTATTTCCACACCAACAAATTTACTTCTGCTTTTCAAGAAATCGTGGATGCATATGGGTTAGTCAATTTAATAGTTGCTGCTATTGCATTTAAGGAGATAAACTGGCTTTATTGAAATTCATAATGTATTGTCTCTGGCTGTCCATGTCCTGACTCCTCAGTTGCATAAGAGAACTTTTCTTCTTAGTTTAGACATTCTATTGCTATGGCATATTTGCTTAGCTTGTTAACATGCCATTTCTAAACTAACTTATTGGGGAAAAGAACTGACCTAAGTTAATATTATTTTAGGATTGCAAAGTATCAGGAAGCAAATCCTGGTGTCTTCACGATCATCACATTCCCCTTTCTTTTTGCTGTTATGTTTGGTGACTGGGGCCATGGTATATGCCTGCTTTTGGCAACATCATATTTCATAATCAGAGAAAAGAAATTTTCTAGTCAGGTAACTGGTGAATAGCTTCCTGTTAATTTTGCCAATGCGCTTCATGTTCTTGGTAATTGTACTGTTTCTTCTACACTTAATTTTTATTTTCTTTTCTTCCACAACAGAAACTCGGAGACATCACAGAAATGATTTTTGGTGGTCGCTATGTTATTATGATGATGGCGTTGTTCTCAATCTACACAGGATTGATATATAATGAATTTTTTTCAGTCCCGTTTGAGCTATTTGGACCCTCTGCTTATGGATGCCGTGATCCTTCTTGCAGGTAGGTATTTGTCTGTATGATAGAGCATACTGACAGAAGCTGAAATTTTTTTTATCCTCCCTTGTGAATTACTCGCATTCATCTCTTTGCATTGCAGAGATGCTTCTACAGCAGGTTTAGTAAAAGTACGTGCCACTTATCCTTTTGGTGTGGATCCTAAGTGGCATGGTACTCGGAGTGAGCTACCATTTCTTAACTCGTTGAAGATGAAGATGTCAATTTTGCTTGGAGTAGCTCAGATGAATCTTGGAATCATTTTGAGCTACTTCAATGCAAAATTTTACGAGAATGAACTCAACATTCGGTGAGTCACAATGATTGATTTTGTAGAATACTTGGCAAAATGCTTATCTCAGTTTAAATACTAAGAAGTTGCTTGGCCAAAAACAAAAGAGAAATTGAAAAGAAGGTAACACTGTAACCACAACAGTGTCATCAAACCTCACTTTAGTACTTATTTATAACTACTTGTAAAGAACGTACTTGTCTCTTGATATGCCCTGGGACAATGTGCAAAGTTTTTGTTAATTATTTCTGTGAACAGATGCTAATTGTCTTTCATTATCATTGGTTTTTCTTTTGACAATGTGCTTTTGTTGGTTGCCTTCACAAAATATAGTGATTTTGACTAACACATTTATTTAATAAATTGTAACATTGTTTAGGTACCAATTTGTTCCCCAAATGATATTTTTGAACAGTCTGTTTGGATACTTGTCACTCCTCATAGTTGTGAAATGGTGCACTGGTTCTCAAGCTGATCTTTATCACGTGATGATATATATGTTCTTGAGTCCTACAGACGATCTTGGTGAAAATCAGCTTTTTTTCGGTCAAAAGTTTCTCCAGGTTTAATTCATGTATTCATAACTATGGAATGTTTTCTCTTGAACTATTTGACATGGATTTATAGATTTTCTGATTCTTTGACAGATTGTGTTACTGCTAGCGGCTCTTGTTTCTGTGCCATGGATGTTATTTCCAAAGCCTTTTCTTTTAAAGAAGCAACATGATGAAGTATGTGGACAAAACTCTTTTTCCCTCTATAAATGATATCTTTCATTGCATAGCCCATGCTTTGTAAAATTTAATTGCTTTTGATTTCTTCTGTCAAATTCTTTACTATATCATTTCTTATTGATGTAGAGGCACCGTGGTCAATCCTATGCACTATTAGATAGCCTTGATGACCCTGCTGAAATAGAACTTCATCATGGTTCCAATAGCCATGAAGAATTTGAGTTCAGCGAGGTCTTTGTTCACCAACTCATACATACTATCGAATTTGTGCTTGGAGCAGTGTCTAATACAGCTTCATATCTGCGGTTATGGGCTCTTAGGTAGGTTGTAACAACTTAAGATCTTCATATCCCTTCCTTGCAAAGATAGGCCTCTTGACTGCAACTGATTCTTTTCATTTTACATTTCACAGTCTAGCCCATTCAGAGCTGTCAAGCGTATTTTACGACAAGGTTTTACTTTTGGCCTGGGGGTGAGTACTTTTCTTTTCAACACATTCTCTTACATTAGTAAATACTTTGTATTCAAACAAAAGACTAATTGTTATCATTTGAATTGGTTGCAGATTCAATAATATCATCATTCTTATTGTTGGTATAATTGTATTCATATGCGCAACAGTTGGCGTGCTATTAGTGATGGAAACCCTAAGTGCATTCTTACACGCATTGAGGCTTCATTGGGTGGAGTTTCAGAATAAGTTCTATGAAGGAGATGGTTATAAATTTCAGCCATTTTCATTTGCATTACTCAGCGAGGAAAATAAATGAAAAGAAAAAAAAATAATGATAATTTGTTCATTAGCCAAAAGGTAGGATACAAAATAATGAAACATAGTTGGGGTCGCAAATTACATATTTGTATAGGAATAGGTGAAGTTGCTTTCTGGGATTAGAAATCTTTAGAGAGCTGCGGAATCACGTGTTTGACAATATCTTTGTTCACTTGCCCACTTAGTAAATGTTGTAATTGTTAAGACACCATTGGTGGTTGTGGATTTGTCTGTTAATTGGAAAACGAAGAATAATTGTGATGCAATGTAATGTAACAATTGATTCCTACAGTAGCAAGAGCAGACAAGTAAACACATTTATCCGACATGACAGAATAATCAAATTAATGTTTCGATTCAGGCATTGGCCTGCCTCAGAGAAATTATCATCCATTTACCAATATACCTTTTCATATATAGATACATAATCATAAGTCTTAATAAGAACGCGTAAGTAAAAATCAGTTTCAAGCCATAGCATATCTAGGAGTCCTAGGCATTGACTAATACTTTTACATTTATTTACAGGGTAATAGCAGATACAGTTGACACCATGGAGTCCACTCCACAAACATTGTTACCCTTGCAGATCTTGTAATATCCGTTCTCTCCCCAGTTTTCTCCCCAGGAATTCTTAATGATCCAGTAAGGCTTGTTCTTAAGTCGGATTGGGGCGTAGCCAGCAGCTCCATACCCTACAAGAAGCACTCCATGATCCAAATGCCTCCCACAAATGTATGGGCATGAAACCCCATGTAAATATGTCTGCATGAAAACTGCATTGATACCCACTGCAGTCACCGAAGCAAACATTGTTAGATTCAGTCTAAAAACCAGAAGATGCCCAACACTCAAAAAGGCATGAAATTTACCTGCAAGAGGTCCACGCTTCACCAAATTTGCAGCGATTTGATCCTCATCAACGGAAATGACACTAAAATTAGAAACAGAGGCAGCAATTTTGCTCTTGTCAAATTTGCAAGGACCACGGTCATTCCCAGTGTAAGGATAGTCCTCCTCTCTCTGAAGCCCACCAGCTTTTAGAGTGTACTCGAAAGCAGTGGTCATCAGCCCACCATTACACCCTGAGTCACACGCACCATATTCTTGTGGATCACACTGCAAAATACCCGAAATTCTTATCTTAGTTGAGGTGATATTGATTAGATAAAAACACCCCAATATGAGTTTAAAGGCAGTAGTCAAAGCAACCGGTCCACCATCAACACCAATAGTTTTAAGCAAAATTTATAGCACTAGAATTGCAGCCAAAAGAGTTCAAAAGCAGTAAAGAAAATAAAGAAAGGTTGAAACCTCGTGATCACAATCAACAAGCTGCTGCTCACTCAAGCTGACAAGCTCGCCTGTCGCCAAGAAATGGGCTCCCTCCATAGCTCCGGTTGTACTAAACGACCAACATGATCCACATGAGCCCTAAATATCAATGAAAATTTTCAAAATCATCATAAAGAAAAATGGGAAATCTTTAAATAATCTGTTAAACAAGGATTATCCATATAACTGAAAACTTAAAATTTTATTATTACCTGGTCTTTAATGCCAGTAACGGCGCCGTGATCGCGCCAGTCAAAGTTCTCAGGTAAGTTTTCGGTCGGAAGGATAGGAGCTTTTTGAGCATCGGCTGGGAGCTTGAGCGGTTTCAACCCAAGGAACTGACGGCGGAACTCCGACGGAGTTAAATCGGAGAACTTCGTGACGCCGTGGACGGCGCTGGGGTCCAAGAGCTGATGACGCTTGGCCCGGCGCAAGTTAGCCTTGAAGACTCCCAACCGGTAATCGTGCTCCTCCTGGGTGGCGTAGGTCTTTCCGTACTTGGATTTGAACAGCGTAAAGTGGTGCTCAGCGTTGAGGAGGTGATCATCGGGATCTTCCTCCACGCCGCCGTCGGATACGACTTGACGGATCAGTGGGTCATCATCGTTCATGACGTCGGCGATGACAACCGAAGCAACGACAGAGGAGAGGAGGAAGACAAGAAAGAGGCGGTCCATTTTTGGTGAAAGGGCTAAAGGAAAGAGCTTTCGTTAAGTGAATGAGCACGGACTAGATACAATCGAACAGACGGTGGTTCCCAGATTACAGTAAATAGATAGTTAGATAAGGAGATTTTGACACGTGTTCTCCTTTTATTCGTTGGGTGTCCAACAACTTCATCTAACTTAACAAATGGAAAATATCGCCGTTTGAGAATTCATATTTTAAAAAAATCATTTCTTATAATACTACCAATATTTTTATTTTGTTTTTGCATAATTTCTAGATATTCTTTGCATCTTTTAATCAATGTTTTTGTCAAACTTAACTTGCAATCTTTTTCACTGTCATTATCTCAATAAAAAAAAAAATCCTCTATCTGCTTGCATTTTACTTCTCCAATTTTCACTTAGGCATATATTTATTTATTTATATACAAGCTTACAAAATTTTAGTTCCCCTTGTTCAATACGCAACCTACGGAGAAAAAGTAAACACATTGACCCACAACAAATTTTTTTTTGAAAACGCCATTTTGTTTCCTTTTGTTCTCATTATCAATTAAATCAAGATCCAAAGTGAACCCAAACCTACCCGGCCCATAAGTTTGGGACAGTCCATAACTTCTGTCCATTTTTAGCTATAATCTCGAGGCCATTTGGCCCACCCATTTCATTTGCCTTTCGTTTACTGGCTTTAAGGCAAAAGACATGTTTGCCCCTCCTTCACCCTCAAAAGCCGGTGGCCTGAATTCGTGCCGTCCGGTTCGTCGGGGCCCAATTCATCCCCCAACTAGTAATTTATAAGTCAATGAAAAAAAAAAAAAAGTCACCGTCTTCGATGGACACTAGAAGAAGCTAACCGAGCAACTTAAAAGCCTTTGTCAAAATAAACGTGAACAAGAAACTTTGCAGTTCACGGTGGCTATAGGAAACAAAGAGCTTGAACATGGATGAAGATCACAGTAACGGCGGCTTTTTGGAGACTGGAAAAACTGATAAATCGGTCTGGTTAATGAAGTCCCCAGTCGTGGTAGCCAAGTCATGGAAGAGCGAGGCTGCTTCTGCTTCCAATTCTCAGCCGGTCGCCAAGGTTGTCCTCTCTCTCGACCCTCGCAAACCCGACGACCCTTCTTCTCTCCAGGTACTCTTAGCCCTAAATAGTTGAGATTAGATAATAATTACTTTAATTACAAGTTTTAGATATACCCATTTCTTTATTAATCATGAATTGGCCCCCTTTAATTCTAGTAAAAGGTTTCTTTATTATTGATTGTATAATGTAACAACAAAAAGAATTGATGACATGCTTGTTATGGGTTTATATTATACTATTTATTGTGTCGTTTTCTCGTTTCTTACGAGTTTATCAATTGATATGATTAGTTTACCATGGAGATGGCTGGACCCGAGGCTGGAAGTATACCCAAAATTTACTCTTTGAATATGTCTAAAGACTTTGTTCCTATGTGTGTCTTTTCTGAAACAAGTCAAGGTAAGAGTTATGGTTTCATTGCCTGTCTAGTACTCAAGTTTGTGTATGTTATCTAATGCAATTATTTTTCTTAATTGTGGTAACATAACTTTTGTTCCTTTTTTTCGGTTGTGACTTTGTACAGTGACTTGAAATAGCAATTTACTCCATGATATGATTTTCTTATAGAAACTGCATTCGATGTTTCTCTTACTTTCATGATTTTATTAATACATTGTTAGTTATGTGGTGCACTTGCTGTAGTATAGCAAGGAGGGTTTAGTCAGTATAATGTGCATATTAAGAATCAGTTTCCCGTTCACAAGTTTATTATAGGATTTTTTTTTTTTGTCTGTAAAAAAATTGTCAACGGAGATTATATATACCCCTAAAATGTCTGATTAGTATATTTTTTGGAGTTGTTCTTTTAATAAGCATGTTGAATGTGTATGATGAAGAACATTTGATCAGTTTAAGTTGGAGCTTGTTCAAGGAGTTTAACTCTTTCTAAATTGTATGAGGCTTGTCTATCACCAATGCAAGCAAGTGTGGGGGAACAGACATAGAGGCTATGCATAAAATGTTACTTTACATATCTGTCGGGAAAAATTAACTATCCTTAGCTTTGGCATGCTTTGTTGCATACAAGGACCTAGTGCACTTTCATATCTATTTATGGTTGTGATAACTTCTGTTTTTGTGTCTAATCCCCCCCGCTCTCTGAGAGAGAGAGAGAGAGAGAGGGGAGGTAGAGAATTGCATCTGTGCTTTTACTTCAAGCTCTCTTTTTGGTTCTTTTCATTATAGGTAGTGTTGCAATGGAAGGAAAGGTTGAGAATAAATTTGACATGAAACCACATGAACAAAACCTCGAGGAGTATGGGAGGTTGTGTCGTGAAAGGACAAATAAGTCCATGATCAAGAATAGACAAATACAGGTAGGTGAGTGAACATACATTCGCTTGGCTAAGACATTTTTATTTCAAAGTTATTATGACGCCAAATATGTTCCTCATGTTTCTTGATGCATTTTAAAGGTTATTGATAAGGACCGTGGAGTGCACATGAGGCCAATGCCTGGAATGGTTGGCCTGATTTCATCTAACCCCAAGGTACTTAAAGGCGTGGTGTCTAGAGAATGATATTAGTCATTTTTTGCTTATAAATATACACGAGTATGGAATTGGAAGTATACATTGACACTTCTTATTTCAATTGTCTCTTTGCAGGATAAGAAGAAAACAACGCCAGTTAAACAATCAGAAATGAAAAGAACCAGAAGGGATCGTGGGGAATTGGAAGATATAATGTTCAAGCTGTTTGAAAGACAACCTAATTGGGCTTTAAAGCAACTTGTCCAAGAAACTGATCAGCCTGCTGTAAGCCTCTTACCTTTCCTCCTATCACAACTCTTCATGCTTACCTCCCTGTTTGAGCTATGCTTCTTCTTCTTTTTCTCACTGGATATATCTTATGGTCTATAATGATGATTTGAGTTTTTTTTTTTTTTTTTTGCTGCAATATATGATTTTACCAATATCTTAGAAATTGCAATTTGCTTTTAAAAATGAAAAGACCTTGGCAAGAAGTTGTAGACTTCTCTTTTTGGTGGTTGATATTCCGTAGTTCTTGTTTTTACCTTATGCAGTTATGTCTGTATATGCTTTGTTAGCAGGGATTTCATGTGTTTGAAAGTTTTTGCTTTACTTTCTTTGCAGCAATTCCTGAAAGAGATACTGAATGAGCTCTGTGTGTATAATAAGAGAGGCACCAACCAAGGAACTTATGAACTTAAGCCAGAGTATAAAAAGTCTGTGGAGGACACAGGAGCTTGTAATTTCAATTAATGGGGACAAGTCTAAAAGAACCCCTAATGAAGAGGATAGAGAGAAATAGGGTGCAATTTAAACAATCTTTGATGACGTCTGATAAGGGGACTAAGGAGGCAAATATATCTAAATCAAAATATAATTTCAAAGCCTGACCAATAATAATAATAGCATCTATTGTGATATTCATATTGCGTGTATTTGCATTTTGGTGCTGCTTGTGTCAGGGTCTGTGCGCAAGTTCTAAACTAAGTGGGTTAAGAGACCCAGCTTGTATGAGTTGGTGCGGGCAAAGGACCGTGAAACTTGTGTATCAACTACGGTGGGACTGTGTGCTGTTTAACTAGTTTTTTGCAGGGGTCCATCAGGTTCTTACCTTTTGTTTCTTGTGCTTCTGTTTACCCTTTCGTCTTAATAGGCTGAATGAGACTCGAGATCCTATAGCTATAGGTTTGTTCGTAATAGGCCCAATGAGACCCAAGATCCCAATGCTCAAATAGATTTGGGCCTGATGGGTTTCTGTTCTACTGTCGTTCTAGTTGCTTCCTCGTTGGCGCTTTAGAACCGAATATGGCCCTCGACACTCTGGAATTTCTTCTTTCTCGAAAGCAAAAACAAAGAAAGAAAGAAAGAAACCAAAACTTGCAAAATTTTTAAGCAAAATATTAAAGAATTTGAGAAATCTACAGTGAATATATAATTGTCGTTTTATGTCAAAGCCTTGCCCAAAAACTCTACAGTGTTTCAGTTAGTGCTTATTGACTCATTACCCGCCGTGACCATGATTCAGCAGGCGAATATTATGAACGAAAACCTAAACTCTTAATTAAATTCCAACCTTTTTGGTCGTATTTAGACAAAGCAAAAACAAAAGTTGAATCCCAACACCCAAGTCCCCAAGAAAGTTTAAGAATTTCATATCATCTCTTAGATTAATTTCAGAGTTTGTTAATATATATATATATATATAGATATGGCCACGACATTACTAGCAACAAGGGATTCCTTAAGACTTAATTAAGCTTCTTTTTTTTTTTCAAGTATAATTATATTGTAAATTTGTAATATATAATAAAACCCTAGTTAATTTAAATTCAATAGGTTAATTAATCAATTACGTCTAAACCAACAATAACTGCAATTCTATGCTATACAATTGCAACAATTCATCCATACAATTATTTTGCCCATTTTCTATGGTTAATATAGCGTTGTGTTTAAATCAATCAAATTAATATGATTTAGTTTCCGTGAATTCCATCATTCTAATGTCCTTGTGTGTTATAATTGCCAATAAGGGATTTCACCAATCACCACCCAACGTGCTTTAGGAGGATATGGAATGATCAAGTTTTCTAGCCCCATTTTATTAGCTTGGCGGCAGTCAATTGAGCTGCAAAATTAAACGAGCTTAGGATACACATAGATCCTACGAGGTTAGGAGAAAATAATGAGTACATAGAATATTTTCGGACACTTGATCCCTCTCTACAAAGCACAACCAAGTTCATGTTGTTGGTAACTTGGTACAGGCATGCAACATTTTCCAACACTAGCTCAGATAGTTAGAAACAAATATTTAAATTTCCTTTATGATCAATGAAAAACATGGAGCATGCTCTTTTCAAATATCATTAAAAAGGTGAAACTTCAGAATTGATGAGTCATGAGGCCAAGCACATGAAGTTTTCCCCCACAAGCCGTTTCCAATTGCTTCAATAGAATTAAAGGAGAGATCAATTTATTGGTAAGTAAGAAAAGAAGGGTCTTTTCTTTTTGGTTGCCGAATATAAAAGAAATGTATGCAAATTAGGAACATATGGTTAATGTTCGTTCAAATCGTACCTAACTAATAATATTTCATTTTGGAGGTTCAAGCAAAAACTTGGGAGCTTAAAGGCTTTTAACAACCGTATTAGCTCCTTCACTGCATGATTTTTGGAGTGATAAGACTAGTCATGCCTCAAAGTCGTAATCGAAGGCTAAAGACGTGTCACCGAAAATGCCAAGAAAAAATTGAGTGGATTTTGAACGCAACATCATGCCCGGAAATGAGCCCTTGTAGAGTGCGAATGGCCACCAGTGTGTCGCCCATTGATTCATCTTGTCAGACCCACGCGAACCAATTAAGATGATGAAGATCTTGACAATGACCAGCAAGGAATCTTCTTTGTCAGCTAGGAAAAATCTTCATAACCATCTTTTGCCAAAAGATTCCATTACCATCTTCTCAATAAACATGAACGATTGAGCATGGTCACTGATCAACTTGACTTTGTGACTTTATTTGGTATTGATGGGGTTGGGGTGCCCCATTTAAGGGGTATCCTCTTCCACCTTAGTGCAACTTAAAGAGAATGGTAATGGAGACTTTGTCACTCCCATGAACGTGGATGCTAAAAGTGGGAAGTGGGAACCCAGCCAACAACCGACGAAAGAGATGGCCAGAAAGAAAAGAATTGAGATTAACCAACAAGTCAAAGATGGTTTGATTAGGAATACTGGAAGCTGCGGCACGGCCAATATATCTTCTTGGATCAAAAACTACACCTTTGTATAATAAGATATTGATTCACGTCTATCCATAAAATACAAATGAAGTTGTTTTATTATTTCTTCTTATGTCTTCTTATCCTTTCGATTTCGGCTCATGTTCTGTCCATCGTGTGCTTTAACCAAAATTTTGGAATGTTAATAATCATGTAGGACAATAGCGTAAATTTTCATGCAAATTCACTGTTCCATTATACAAAAAAAAGTGTCCATCACGTTAGCATATGCATATTAGTTGAATTGTGCATTGTGAGCAATGAGCAACATTCCACCAACTGATAACCTTTGCTTTGGGATCTAACTTTCCAATTGAGCCAAGCTTTCCTTTTTCCATTTTGCTCATACCCGTAATCATGAGCGGCTGTATTATTGCATAAAACAGGAGAACAAGTAGAGTTGTAGATATGACTCTTCAGAGCTATTGATATCAGCCTTGAAAAGTTTCATCGATGAAATATATGCCAAGGGGAGGTAGAAGCTGGGTGGGTGTTGAACTTGATTCTTTTTAGGCGAGACATACGTTGTTGGATGAGAGCGATCGTTAATAAAATGTTTGCAATAATGGGAACAGTTTTGGACATATGAGATTGAATTTTCTTCACAAAATCTTGAGAATTTGTTAACAAGCGGTTCATAATTAGAGATTACTTGCCATCGGAGATCGATCCAGGCCTCCAGCTACTCTCCTTTCAATTTTCAATCTTTCCTATTGGATTATTTTGTCTCTAGCTAGCTAATTAATAACAATAACTCATCATATCATTTGCTCTAAGCCATTTAATTCCAATTTGTTTTGCAATTAAACTTTTAAATGCAGCATAAATAGTTTAAGAAAACAATTACTTATGTGATAATCTTTAAAAAGTTAATTTGTTTTTTTATAATATATTAGACATTAGTAATTGAATTACACACCTTGTCATATCATTAAATTAAACTTCTATACTATTAATTTTCAGAAATTAACCAAGACTTTAATTATTAAAAGATAAAATTTCCTGAGCTAATAACATATAAATTTATATACTATATTAATAAGGAATTAGTTCCATATATGTATGGATCCCATCTCTAATTTAAATAGGGAGTATATATAAACTATTCTTTTACTTTCATGAAGAGGCACTAGCTAGATAGCTAAATGACAAGCCAATTTTCCTAAGATAATTAACCAAATACTGCATTGCAATTGATGGAGACTGATCTAGGCAAATTAAAAAGTGAGACTCAAATATAACTGTATATTTATATTGTATAAGTATAAACCATATCTTTTGAAGTTCATCATGACCAAAGTGATGTTGACATATATATATATATATATATTTATATATATCATGTATATATATTTCCTTTATTAAAAGATTATTCTAACTCTGAACTACCTTATAAATGGTAAGGCCTAGCAGAAAAGGGGGGAAAAGCCTTGCATACGAGCAAGTTAGTCAATTTTGATGACTTGATGCGTAATCATCAAGAAAGATTTTTTCAGTCAAAAAGTAGGAAAGTAATCAGCAATCCATGCCTAATGGGATTGATCTTCCCTTTATTAAATTAGACTATAGCACACGCAATTTGTAAAATTAAATGAACATATCTAATCATGTTGAGGTGCCTTGAACAAAAGCATGTGAAAAACTAGCTATAGTTTCACCAAATATCTCTGTCTTAGCTCGTCCACAATGTGGCTGTGGGTGGGTGGAATCACTTTATGTGCCAAAAGCGCCAAGCAAAAGCAATAAAAAGAATCACTAATGGTTTATCTGCTAACGGGTGAAAACTAAAGAAGAGCCAACCCACATAAAGCTATGGGGAACTTTCCAAAGGTAGGGGCAGGGTTCTTGTTCTAAATCTCTAATCTATATTTAATCAAAGCTGGAGATCATTGGGATTCATTGGGTTATTGTTGTTTTCTATCTGCAAAAGTATAAGCTTCGGAAAAAGTGAAGGGCAATGTTTGCTCCTTTTGGAAGTAAGGCTTAATGCAAAATTCCAAGCTTTAATGATCCCTACTGATACACCTACTGAATCCTCTGACTTTTTATGTCTTAGACGTTTGTTTGCGAATCAATCACAAATATTCTCAATACAAAACTTGTATGAGTCATGATTCATAATTTAATTGGACCTGGGTTGGTCTACCAATTGCCCAAAAAGTAGCACAACTCGACCTAGGCTTTTCAGTTTTCATAGTCCACCCTAAATAGGATGCATAGAAATTCGTATTCAATTTTGAGTTATTATTTATTTTAATTTAAAATTTTTATAATTTTATCTCGTAACAAAATTTAATAAGTTTAAATAAATTAATATATATATATATAAAACATAATAAATCTTTATAATTTATTGAGATTGAAGTCTCACAAATTTTTTCATTAAAATTTAATATTTTGGTCAATCCCAATATAAAGTATACGTAAAATTACAAAATAAAAATTATACTAAACGTTAAGATTATAAAAATAATTCTTACATTTATTTTTTTAAAGATTTTATAGATAACTCTTATAGTTTAGAATTTAATTTTTATCCAATTGATAATCGCTTTGATATTATTTATGAAGTTTCGCATCAACCTATAAAATGTTATTTATTTTGATTCAAAAATCTTATATTTTATTTCATAAAAAATATTTTATAAATATAAATTATATCTCATAAAAAAATTCTCATAAATATAAATATAAATTTAGAATAATAGATTTTCATAATCTCCTCGTATAAAATTGAATGTCATCAGGGCTCCATGCCAATAGGTGGTCTCGACTCTTAAAGCTTTTACTGCAATGGATCTTTGTTTTCCAGGGAGATAAATTTTCCTACTTTGCTCCTCATTGCTAGTTTCGATTTTTCTCATCAGTAGGTCAGCTGAGTGCTGAGGGATAACGTACGTAATGCTGCATTCAAACGATGACCCACTTCCTAGTCAATTGAGCGGCCCTGGTTCACTTGCTGATGCATGTCCACCTAAAAGAAAAAGCAGCAAAATTAAAGCAGAACAGGCTCAGTTTCAACTTAATGAATCTTAGACTTTGTGAATATAACCAAAATGCAATAGTAAGATTCACTAAATAAAACTCAACTGAATACGACCTAACAATATTAAAAGAGATCAAAAGGGGTTCATCAGTCAGCTGCTCAGCTAACTAGAAAAGAGGGATTTTAGACCTTTTTTCTGATTGAAACCAAATTGCAATAGCCAGATTCCTGTAGCAAAAACTAAATTCGAATATGACTTAACATGAGCGAACAATGTGATAAAAGCTGAACTGTTATGCAGATCAGTAAGCGACATGACCATGGAAATTAAACAAACAAGGTAATCCACGTTGTCTGGAAAGTGCTCAACATGATGTTATACGGCGTGAAAAGAATGATTTCAGCACATTCAACTTAATCGATTCCCACGACTATTCAAATTCTTAATCATGAAATTTAACTGGAGTTAAATAAGTATGTCACTCTGCAAGGTCAACTAATTCTGAAAAAAAGGGTCATCTCATAAACATTTTTCAGGGTCTTACCCAATAAGATTGTAGCATAAGTGCTTAGCAAACGTTATTATTGATAATTATATGTATTAATCAAGGAGATGCTGCATGCAAGCCTTGATCTCCATGATCAGCAAAGAGCATTTTGAACAATTAATTAAATGAAGTTTTACAAACTTTTAAACCTTTCATCAGCTAGATTTAAGCTGTGAAAGTGCTTAAGGCCAGAATTTTTGTCTTTTAGTTTGGCTTAACAAACTGTGATAAGTTATTTTTTGTTATCTATCTATATATATATATATACATATATATATATATATACACTCACGAACAAACTCAATTGATAAATTCGAATTTATTAAGATTTTAGTCTCTTTTTCAAAAAGAAAAATCATTAATTTGGCATATAATATATGATCAAGGGCTAAACTACATTGTTGGATTGTATGTTCTTTTTTCTATTTATAGGCAGAATCATAGAGTAAAGAGAAGTCCACTATATAAATTTACACTTTTAATTGCCCGACATTCATTTGGAATATCCATCTTTCTGCTGCATATGCGAAAAAGAGATCCCATGTTTCTATGGACTTTTCCCTTTGAAATTAAACTTAAAATAATAAAGATATGGCCAAGTGTCATCGAGAAATTAGTACTATATATGCTTTCTGAAAAAGGACATGAAATTGAGTCAAACGAGTCGACTCAGACCTCGACCAGTGTCTGGTAGTGAAGATTCTGCCGTGCAAACAAAATCTATTCAAGTTGTCAGTCATGTACTTATCTGAACCAAAAGAGAGAACGAGCCTGTGCAATTGCAATTAAGATCACAACTGGATTTGGTCAGGACGGTGTCCGACCGGTTCATGCAGGACGGACGGGCCAAACCCAGTTTTCTTTCTTTCTTTCTTTCTTTCTTTCAATCCTTCTTCTGACACTTCCTAGACTCACCAATCCTTGATAAAAATATTAGCAAAGGCTAAAGCATTTTGCCGTCAGATGCAAACATTTTTTAAAGATGAAAAAGGTTAACATATTCTTTTTTTTTTTTCCAGGGCAAGCCTCTTTTTTTGAATTTTAGAATGATGGTGGTCTCAATTGAGAGGGGACAGCATGTCTCTTAAAGCAAGGGAGTTTGAGATCAGAACACAGCCCACGATTGAGCAAACTTTGGGAGTGGGAACCTTAGTGGAAACACTTCATTAGGTTCCTGCGATCAGGATGATCAACATCTTTAATAACAAAAGATAAAGACCCTTTAATTCAATTGATTAAGGAAAATTGGTACATGAAAACATCTTTTTATCATTCTTCGTAAAGATAAGAAAAAGAAAAGAGAGAGAGAGAGAGAAACAAAAGTTACAAATTGTTAAAAGATGGATTCCTCCTGTTGGCATCTACTTTTTAAATACCAGCATGGTCCTTGCTCTACAAAAAAGAATCTACTAGTCCATTTTTCCTTCTCTTTTGCAAGCACCGACTGGACCTTGATCTCGTTTAAAGGAAGCCTTTGAGCTAATGATCTTAAACTGTTGATAATCGTGTTGATCTGTTAATTATTTGGCTATAAAATTATGAAATTAGATTGCTTTGATAGTTGCATGATCTCTTTTTTCCTCTTCGAAGAACAAAAGAAAAAAACAATATTGAATTGATCTTGATTGTATGCTTTTAGTCATAAGACAAAGACGCCGTTTGCAGCTTGGTTCAACAATTAATTTACATTGACAATCTTGTTGGCAAATCAGGGATGTTCCAATGGATAATCAGGTGGAATCTTCCCGATAATAATTTGTTAATTTAATGAATGGTAGAGATATAAGAGGAAATTGTGGTATCTTTTCCTTTATAAATGACGAGGAGGAATTATATTGAAAATGTCAGAAACCAAGAAAAAGAATATGGGTTCAGTCTCTTCTATACAGGATATAGTATATACTGGTGATATATAGAGTAATAAAGTATGGAAATCTTTTACTATGTATTAAAATAATGAAGAAGATAGAAAAATACAAGAGATGTAAAGCATAGTAGTAAGTGTGAGGTAGGGGGATGGTGGGTCGAAGGCTTTCATGGGGCATGAGAACGCATTGGGTACCCACATTCCCACTCGTGCGTGCTATCTATCAGTGGCGGCTCACTACATCTTATCACCTACGATTATCATCATTAATGGCATGGAGCCAAAACAGAACCTGTTAGATGATTGTGTAGTAAATAATCATCTCTTTTATTTTCTTTTCAATTTTCTCTCACTTTCTATTCTTGTTATAGCAGTAGTGCGATTGGGGTTGTCTTGTCAGCTAAGCGGAGGGTGGAATAGGGAAGAATGTGGGAGACAACCAAAAACATTTCAAGGGCTATTAACAGTTGATATAACGTCTTTTTAGGGCCCCTGTGGGCCATACCATCCACATTAAAATCTCCTTTTTATAATCCCTCCCTTCAAGTATATTTATACCCACCACTTCACTCCCAATCTCCCCATCCTCAACTTTCCTTAATCTCTTTGTGAAATTCACTTTTTTATTTATTTTTAATCTCAAGACTTTGCTTCAATGGCTGATGCTGGTGGTTCAACCTCTGCTAGTAGGATGTGGTGTTCGGTTCCTGAAAGGCTCCAGCTGCATATGGCCATGTTGGCCTTGCAGTTTGGTTATGCAGGGTTCCATGTGGTTTCCAGAGCTGCCCTTAACATGGGCATTAGCAAACTTGTGTTCCCAGTTTATAGGAATATCATTGCTTTGCTTCTGCTATTACCCTTTGCATATTTTCTTGAAAAGTAAATCATACAAGCATAACCTCTTTACTCTTCTAGTTTAAACCCTTTGATGTACTAAACCCTAACTTGTTTTTTCCAAATATTTCTTCTTTGTCCAGGAAGGAGAGACCAGCCATTTCTCTAAATTTTCTTTTACAGTTCTTCCTCCTCGCTCTAGTTGGGTACGCATGATCATGCACTAAAACTCTAAAACATAAAGAAAAAAAAGTACAAGCCAATTCATGATAGTAATGGAGAGGACCATGTTCAGTGTAATAAAAGCAAAAACTAACTGGTCGTATTTCTCTTTTTACGTAACAGAATCACGGCTAATCAAGGTTTCTACTTGTTGGGCTTAGATAACACATCACCAACCTTTGCATCAGCAATCCAAAACTCTGTCCCAGCCATTACCTTTTTCATGGCAGCCATACTACGGTAAGCCGACAATTCCTCTGTTATTATATACATTAAGTTACAAGTATAAACATACAAGGGACATGACATGAAATCATGTGTCTGAATGTTTTCATTTCTATGTTCTTGTTTTCAGGATAGAGAAAGTGCGACTAAATCGAAAAGATGGTATATCGAAGGTTATAGGAACAGTCTTGTGTGTGGCTGGAGCATCAGTTATAACTCTATACAAAGGTCCAACCATATACAGCCCAGCTCCACCTCTGAATAGACCCACACCAATGTTTGTTTCGTTGGGAGATGCAAAGGGAAAGAACTGGACCCTTGGTTGTCTCTATCTTATTGGCCATTGCTTGTCCTGGTCCGGTTGGCTGGTGTTGCAGGCTCCAGTCCTGAAGAAGTACCCAGCCAGACTCTCTGTGACCTCCTATACATGTTTCTTTGGTCTTATTCAGTTCCTGATCATTGCTGCATTTTTTGAGAGAGACCTTCAAGCATGGATTTTCCACTCTGGTGGGGAGCTCTTCACTATTCTCTACGCGGTCAGTATTTCATCAGTCCTTTAGTCAAAGTGTCAAACCATTCATAGAATTTTCTTCTTTTTTTAATGGGAAAGTATCCTTTAAGCTGAGTCACAACTTTCGATCGGTCAGGTAAAATAAATATAATCAGCAGCCAGCCTTTTTTTTTTTTTCTTAATCAACCATCAAACTTGAGTGGCTAGCAAATAATTGTTTGAACAATTAAAATTTATCCTTCACATAGGATAGTAATGAAACACCATTAGCTACCTGGAATTTGGCCTAGAGGTACGAATGGGTTGGGAAAGAGGTGAAGCAAAGTTTCTTCCTATTAATTCATGGAACATGACAGAAATATTTTAGATGGATAATCGGTTAGAGAAAAGTTATTTTGGCACATGGGGTGGTTTTATTCTTTCTTGAAATTCTTGGCACGCACAAATTTGCTTTTTTTTTTTTTTCCTCTTTTTATAATGTGAAATGGGATTCGCTGAACCATAAGCAATAAGGTGAATCCTTCTGCATCTCTTTGCAAGTGCTTCCTTGTCAAAAGCAATGTTTTAAGGGTTTTGGCAAGTCTTTCTAAAATGTCCTAAAAGTTGGTGTGCTACTTCGTGTAAATGCCTTATCAAGACCCAAAGGGGAGCCCGTGTACTCCCTTGGAAATGTCAGAAGTCCGTCAAGTCCAGCTAACATCAGAAAATAAAAGCCTAAATTCGTACTTTTTCAACCTTTGATAATAGTTGCTGCTAGGGCCATATTTCAGTCCAAGTTCATGGGATATAACCCTTTATTCTATTTCTAATTGTAGTTTTCAAGCTGTAGCACATTAGAAAAGTGGTTTATGCAATAACTTGGAGTGGTGTACGTGTTGGTTATTGAAAATGAAATGAGACCAAAAATTTGTGTGGAAAATGCAGGGAGTGGTGGCATCAGGGATTGCATTCGCGGTACAGATATGGTGCATTGACAGAGGTGGCCCTGTCTTCGTTGCTGTTTATCAACCTGTTCAGACTCTTGTTGTCGCTATTATGGCTTCCATTGCTTTAGGGGAAGAGTTCTATTTGGGAGGGTAAGTGGGTCCTTTTCTTCTCTCTTTCTCAACATTATCTCTGCATCCCTTAGTTGAAACCTCATCAATTATCCATCGACTAAAGTTGAGCTCCAACATGTTCATCCCCAACCGTAGGATCAAAATATCTGTCTTCAACTAGGCATTGACACCACCTTTTTATTTTTAAATGCACATGAATCTAACGCAATTTATTCTTTTTTAATTTTTGTAAAATGTACAGGATCATTGGGGCAGTGTTGATCATAATAGGACTGTACCTAGTGCTTTGGGGAAAAAGCGAAGAGAGAAAGTTTGCAGCCCAAGAAAAGGCTGCAATTCAGTCGACTCCAGAGCACAGCAACAGCAGAACTTCAAGCCATATCAAGACATCCCTCAGCCAGCCACTACTCCCTCCCTCAACGGAAAATGTTTAAGTAGAAAAACCCTAACTCTTAACCACAGTGCAGGCTGGAGAAAAAAAAAGGAGAAACAAATGAGAGGCACTGCCCTATATCAGAAAGTTTGTGTCATTGTGTGTGTATGATTTTTTTTTCTTATCCTTTTATTAGTCAATGGCTTTCTCTAAGTAGTAGAGAGGGTTAAAAGTGAAGCGTTTTTTGAAGGGATGATGATGAACATGATGATGATCACCGTCACACCTGTGTAGCTTATTGGGCCTGAAAATCTCATATGCTTTTTATATGTTAATTTTATGGTTTGATTTATAAGATAAAAGATATGCAATTATGAAGTTAATGCTCAAAATCATTATGATGTATGGTATGACTGGACCACCTTTGCAACAATGCTTATGAATACTAATGTTTCTTTTTGGAATGAAGATGGCAAGAGACATGCTGTTTTTTTATATGCCATCCTAACTATGATACTAATTGAACAATTTTCAATCACCATGAATAACATTTTAAGATTTCCCAATCTTCCTCCCTTTTTGTTTCCTCTTAAATATTTCATTTCATTATGAAATATATAGCAAGTTGTTTGCAAAAAACATCAAGCTCATAATTAAAATAGACACCCCGACAGGATATCACCAGACCCTGCATTATTTGGAAGGTAACTAAATTTATATATTGTTTGGAAGGGAGTGAAGGAAATGACATGCAAAGAGAAGTGACAAACGTATAGCGTCTATAGAAGATAGGAGCAAGTGATCACCTGACCAACAAAAGCCTTCAAAAAAAAAAAAAAGCCATTAGGTTGAAACAGCAGTACTTTAGGTCTCGATTGGCTAGTTTTTGGTATACTTTATTTCTTAAAAGCCCTTATTAATTTGCAAAAACTTTCCTTCTGTATGGTTTAACTAGTAACCATTATTTGTTCTCAAGTGATATAAAAGAAATCTTAAAGAGACTGGTGTTAGAAAAAATTTATATTTAATGCATTGTTACTATATAAATATTATAAACTGCCAATAAATCATAAATAACATTTCTAAAAAAATTTTAAAATCTTATAAAGTAAATATGCTTAATCTTAAAAAAATATTTTAAATTAATTTTTTAATTAAATGTCATTACATTTCCTACAGTGTATATATAACATTATATATTGACATTTCATAGGATATAAGTCTTTTTATAAATGTCATAGAAGTGTGTTTGGTCCAATTCCTGTATTCATACTGTGCTAGACGACTGAGGTAACATTAAAAATCCTAGTTAAATTAAGGTAGCTGAACAGACCCCAACATCAATGCTTATTATTAAAGAGATTGGCATCATTAGGGTTTCCAATTATCACATTCGTAACCTTTTGCAAAAAGCATTTTTATTTTATATTAATCAGATGCTTTAGCCTTTAATGATGTGAATGGAATATTATACATCATTTTGTTTCTCTTTAAGTTTTTCTCATCTTTGTTGTCTTTAATTAATTAGTCTTTTTCGTCCAAACAAGGTTTTTGTCTCAATGGAATTGTCCTAACTGCAAATTGCGGATAATTTCTGAACTTTTGGGTGTGTTTCATTTCAATTGGAAGTTTGCAGAAGCTTGAGTGTGTAATTACATGAATATAAAGCGAAAATAAAGGTTGCTTGAATTAAGGAGATGCCTGCATGGCCCATGGTTTCATTAGGTATTCCTCTATATTTTCATCACATACTTGTATAATTATGCAGTTTGACCTCCAAAAGATTTATGAACTAGTATAATTGAAATGAAATTTGAGTTCATTATTTTTTACATATGAGATTGTCTGAAATTGATTAATGAAACTAAAAATTCAACATTCTATAAACATATCACATTGCACTACTTGTTTTTACGTCAGTCGCTTCGTCGTATATGAATTCCAATTCTCCTACATAAGTAAAATCCTCTGCACCTACTATTAAGAAAAACTGTGGAAGTAGTCAAAACACACTCATAGACGATGGATTTGGATTGTCACGTTGTTTCTTTTCAACTAATGCAGCTGAGGCCACGGCAAAGATGGATATGAATAGCCCAACACCCATTATAGGGACGAGTGTGAGGACGTTGATGCGGTGAAGACAGAGACTGAACCTGCAGGAATCGTGAAGTTGGGACAAAGTTTTCGGTCCATGATGGTGACTTGGCTGACAAAGAAGGTTGAAAGTTAGGAAAATGAGATGGAAAGGGCTATTGTGTATGCCCATACAGGGAGGATTCCAATGAACGACTTGAATTTTTCTACTTGAGATATTGTGCACAGTCTCCAACGGTTTTTAATGTTAGCTTCAGGATCCATCATCACAGCTGCCTTATCCAAGAACCTGTTGAATGCCAATTGACTAAAGATTTAGGTAGAAATTTCAAGTAATTTGAATAACCCAGGGTGACTTTTGATTTACAACTGGATATCGTAAACGTTAACTACTACTATTAATTACCTATAGTGTTTGGTTTAAGCGAGTGTCCGAGCACCAGAAATATCAGACTCCAGTGCATTGAACTCGTACAGGACAATTTCACGTCTTAATTAAGCCCCTTTAAAATGGTTCCTGACAGAAGCCGCAATAACCTGAAGAAACCTTGTAAAACGAATTCCCATGGGCTTTTGGTAACGGTAATAAGGTATTCCAGTAGATAGGATGATAATAGAGCAAACCATAGCCACAGTAGGAACTCCGAAACCCCAACCCCATCCTTTATTCTCTTAGTATATAAACCAAAATTGTGATACCCAAGAGGGCGCCCATGTTTGACAAAGAAGAAACAGTTAAAAGAATGAATATTTGTTATGGGCTTGTGCTCTAAAGGATGAAACTTTTGGCTTGATACCGGCAGTTCCAAGGGCTATAAGAGCTAGTGCACATAAGAGAAAAGCTGATTGATTGTTGGTTGCTTTTATGCATGGTTTGGTCGTGCATGGAAGCGGACATAGGCCGTCTACGGAGGCTGATATCGTCAACTAAAACATTCCCTGGGAAAAAAGATTCATAGCTTTTAGATTACTTGGTCCAATACGGAGCAGATCCACGATAAGCCTACAATGGTGATCTTGACGGCGTTGTCTAGCCTAACGAATATCCAAGGCAACTAAGCTCGATCCCGCTTGACTTTTCTATGGGCCGTGGCCACCTCTAGTTTGGGCCTCTGTACTCTGTTTATGCTGCTAGAGCCTAGAATTACGAAATGAAACTTGCTGTATATTAGCCTACTAGGATACATGATTGAGTTTCGTTGCTTGCTTACTGACAGTTTCAAGAAAACTTTGTTGGATTTTTTCCCATGTTTTTTCTCTTCCGGCATGGACAAAGAAAAAAACCAGCTGACTGTAAAAACTTCTGCTTCTCTTTGTCATAAAAGAGAAGTTATCATTGCAGTGGGGTGAACTACCCCATTAAAATTTCTGTTTCTATTAATGTTACTCTATTTTATAAAGATGCGTGAACATATTCCTTTTTTTTTCTTCCATTGACAATCCCTTTATCGTTAATAAAGTTATTTCGTTTTACTCAAAGGGCACTTAATTTGGTTGATGAGCTAAGTAAATTTCATAAACCTATCCAAAAAAAAAAAAGGATTTTCGATTTCCTTAATTTCTTCCAATGATTTATTTATATTCGCACCTAAGGAATGGATATTCCAATTGTCCTTAAATAAAAATTTAGTTGCCGGGACAAGTGGCATCCATCTTTCTGATCGCTGACAGTTTATCTTTACAAGGCAGCAGTCGAACCCAAGGTTTTCTTTTTTTTTTTTTCTGAGTACCAAAGTAACAACCAAACTACGTTCTGTCCAATCGTCTTGACCAACACATACCTTAGTACTATCCAAAAACAGCATCAACTACCAGTCTGACTATGATTTATAAAAAAAAAATCTATGGGTTTCTTATTTCAGGGATCTACGGCAAATATGCAGTCAGTCTTTCATTGATTCGTACTCGGGTAGGAGTGTAGGACTTTGATATCTGAAAGGTGAGGCCTGGAAAATGAATGAGAAGTACTCTTAGATGCGTATCTAGCTGTGAATATTCCCCTCGGAATTTTCTTCTACTGTATATAAAGGTGGGAGATAATTCTAGTTTCCGCATTGAGTGTTTTTGGGATTTCTAGGGAAACGCTGGATTAGAATTAGAGATGTTTGTTGTGAGGTGGGATTGTTTCAGTTTTGCCTTAGTTTTTGCGGTGAGCTTTATTCTTAGTAGAGCTGAGGTTTGTAATGGTGGAAGAACCAGCAGTTTTGTAAGGAATGATCAATTGTCTAATGATATGCCACTGGACAGTGATGTGTTCCAAGTGCCTCCAGGTTACAATGCTCCGCAACAGGTTTTTTTTTTTTTTTAATTTCCTACTTTGATCTGTTTACCTGGGAAGAGAATTAATTTTTTTTTCAAAGATTTAGCATCGCATAGCATTGATTCGATGGCTTTATGTTGTTTCTGTTTCAAAATTGGGAAGCTAAAGTTATTGAAAAATTGATAGAGCTGGTATGGTATGGTATGGTGTGGTAGCAGCTATCAGGTCTGGGGTTTATGGTTGTTGGTTTTGTTAAATCATTGTATTATGCTAAAGTAGGTGGTTAGTCAATTATGAACAGATGATGCATGCTGACAATCATGAGAAAAGGTGCTTGTTTTCCTTTTCTTCCAATTGATATACAATCATTTTTCTCAGTTATGCTGATAGTGCACCGAATTAAATTGCTATTTCATTTAATTGCCTGTGGTGGATTAATGCTATTCTCCGATCTTTTATTGAATGATATAATGGAAGGTCCATATAACACAAGGGGACCATTTGGGAAAGGGTGTGATCATCTCTTGGATTACTCAAGATGAACCTGGTTCAAGTTTAGTCCTTTACCGGGCGGAAAACAGTGAACTCAAAAGCAGTGCAGAAGGCATTGTTCTTACTTACAAGTACTTCAATTACACTTCGGGTTACATTCACCATTGCACCATCAGGGATTTGGAGGTTTGTACTGCTTGTGGTTTGTTTAGAGGGTGCTGGCTTGCTTGTTTTACTGTCTTTCTTTTCATTATAAGGATTACTTTAAAATCTATGACATGAAAAGATTCTACTTCTCAACCTAATTTCATTACCCTTGCAGTCTGATACCAAGTATTACTATGAGGTCGGGATTGGGAACACATCAAGACAATTCTGGTTTATAACTCCCCCTGAAGTTGGCCCTGATGTAGCATACACTTTTGGCCTCGTAGGTATTATCCATGACTTTGTTGTAGAAGGATTTAAGCCAAAAAGTTACTTGTTGAAGTGATTTTTACATTGCAAATGTTATCATGCGGGATGCTATCCTGGTCTTACACTGTTGAAGCATTTAAGCAGGTGATCTTGGGCAAACTCATGATTCAAATAGGACACTCACCCATTATGAATTAAACCCAGCAAAAGGACAGACACTATTGTTTGTAGGAGATCTCTCCTATGCAGATGCCTATCCATTTCATGACAACTCTAGATGGGATACATGGGGAAGGTTTATAGAGCGAAATGCTGCATATCAACCTTGGATATGGACAGCAGGGAATCACGAAATAGATTTTCTTCCTGATATAGTAGGCCACTTACTGCATTCTCCTTTCTCATTTTCTTATGACTTAATGCTCATTAAACGAATTAGTTAAAGTTTTTTTTTCCTTGACCTTTCAATCAATGCTTGCCTTAACTTATATCGGAACCATGGTTTTGTTTCAGGGAGAAGTTATACCTTTCAAGCCCTATGTACACCGTTATCATGTACCCTATAAAGCATCAGGGAGTACGTCTCCTTTCTGGTACTCCATCAAGAGAGCTTCAGCATATATCATAGTCATGTCTTCTTACTCAGCTTATGGTACTAATTTTACAATTTAACTTGTTTGTCTTTTGTCAAACGGTCCCAATAATTTATAACTATTGACATGGATTAAGATCTAGTTGCAACAATGTCTGTTTGGGGCACATTTTGTGGTGAATCCCAATCGTTAATGCTGCTAGTAAAAATTTATAGACTGACATAGTTATATGATGAACAAATGGCATTCTATTACTCTGATACTTCACTTTCATTTTAGTAAACTGTAGTCACAAAAATTTGTTATTTCATTAGAGAATTAAACTTCATAAGAAAACATTAGTTCTATTGTTATCTGTCCCCGGTTCCTATTAACATAACCAAGAAGTTATAGTAAGCGCAGCCTTAACATGTTTAACGTAAGGTTTGTTGAACTGTTTGTATGGAAATATCTCAATGATCTGCTAAAAATGTTTATTGCAGGGAAATATACACCTCAGTACAAATGGCTTGAAAAGGAGTTTCCAAAAGTGAACAGGACAGAGACACCATGGCTCATTGTTCTTATGCATTGTCCTTTTTACAGCAGTTACGTGCATCATTATATGGAAGGGGAGTCGATGAGAGTAATGTATGAGCCATGGTTCGTGGAGTACATGGTTGATGTTGTATTTGCTGGACATGTTCATGCCTATGAAAGATCTGTAAGCTCACATCCTCCATTCAATAATGTTACTTGTAAGATAACTTAGCAAGTTATTGCAGTTGTATAGAGGTTCTTTTGCCTTTAAACGCATTGTACTTTCTGTGGTGGCTTACTGTCTTTCCAGGCTAGCTCCACCCATAATTTGACCTTCACATATCTTTGATTTGAACATTTATAACACTCAATTACTTTTACATTTTAGGAACGTATATCAAATATTGCATATAATGTTGTGAACGGATTGTGCACTCCCATAAGGGATCCATCTGCTCCAGTGTACATAACCATTGGAGATGGAGGAAATCTGGAAGGATTAGTGACAGAGTATGCAAACTGGTTTCATGATTTGTCCCCTTGAATCAAAATTTTCTTTGTGATTATCATCCTAACACTGTTGATTTAAATGAACAGGATGACAGAGCCACAGCCAAGCTACTCAGCTTACCGCGAAGCCAGTTTTGGCCATGGAATATTAGATATAAAGAACAGGACTCATGCTCACTTTAGTTGGCATCGAAATCAAGACGGTTATGCTGTGGAAGCTGATTCCCTGTTGTTGCACAACAGATATTGGACCGTTTCAGAAGAATCAGCTGTAGCAGGAATGTGATTCGCTACTTTGACAGGCATGGATGATGAAACTATTCAAGATTTACCTTGTCATGCTTTAATCAGCTTTAATTGCTACTTTTACAGGCAGAGGCAATTAACTGTCAAAATCTGTATTATTTGTGAATCTCTTCATGTTTGTTGCTTGATGGTTTGTTCTGGTTGAAATAGTGAACAGTACAGTGTATGGATACATATTGCTTTCATTTTTTTTATCTCTCTCTTTCATGATCATAATAATTCATAACAGTAACAAATTTGATGTAGGTAGAAAATGAAGTTTAACGTTGTTAATTTGAAAAAAAAAAAAGAAGGATGAAAGGAAAAAGTAAGTGGACAAGAAAAAAGCTACATGGTTGAAACATTCAGTCATATAATTAATTATTGTCAGCACAGCCGGAGTTTAAATGGACAGTCTATTAGTTGTTTATTTATTGGTTACTTCTGCTTATCATGTTTTAATATTAAGATAAAATAAAAAAAAACAAACACGTCTGAAATATAAAATCATTTCATGTGGTGGCCATTAGCCCATTAGGTCCTATAGACCAACTTTTTCAAGGTAAATAGTTCAGTGGCATAATTTCCTCTCAGTTTATAACGTCTTATCTACTGAATTTCGTATGATACATATCCATTTCCTAGAAAGGGCATTCAAAAAACTGGACACCAGTAAAAAGAATCAAGAAACTATACTTACCATTTGCAACCACTGATGTCTCAAAGGTATAAGAATTATGTTGAAGGCACAAGATACCCCAGATATATGTTCTAGTCAGATGGCCCTGCTCAAAGTCTTTGACCCTTCTGTTATTTGTCTTCAATGTTTGATATTGAGTCAATCTGAGTTCTGCAATGGAGGAATAACTAGTACCTTTGTTTTCCGAGTTCCTCCTGGTTATAATGCACCTCAACAGGCATGCTCGTTTCTTCTTTCTAATTGCATACTGTTCTTTCAATTATTGCGACTCCTGCTAAATGTGTTACTGGAATTCAAGTGTTGTTTTTTCTATTTCTAACATTTTAATGGGTTGTTTAAACTTTACATATCTGGTTTCTGATAGGTCCATATAACACAAGGCGATACTGATGGTAGAGGAATGATCATCTCCTGGATAACTCCTGATGAGCCTGGCTCCAACACAGTTCTCTACTGGTCTGAAAATAGCAAGCATAAGAATCGTGCTGAGGGAATTTTTGTCAGATATAACTTCTTCAATTACAACTGAGGTTACATTCATCACTGAACCATCAAGAAGTTGGGGGTATTCTTTTTCTCTTTTCTGTTCTTAATCTTGCTTAATTTAGTTGATTTAATATCATTATAGGCCAAGTTTGAGAGAAATATCTGGGTCTTTTTGCTTGGAATATGGATGAAGTTCAGTAACTAGAGCTTCTTTCACATTCGCAGTATAACACCATATACATGTATGAGATTAGAATAGGAAATACGACCGGACAATCTGGTTTATGACTCCTCCGAGAGCTGGCCCTGATGTTCCTTACACTTTTGGTTTGATAGGTACATTCATTTCATCTCATCAACTTCTTTGTCCCCTCTGATTTGTTTGATTATACATAAAGTTTTGCATGGCTTTATTTGATCTAAGTCCTTGAGCACTTTGAACGGGGGATCTTGGTCAAACACATGATTCAAATGTTACACTCACTCATTATGAATCAAATCCAAAGAAGGGGCAAACAGTCTTGTATTTGGGGGATCTCTCATACTCAAATGACTATCCTTTCCATGATAATGCTCGGTGGGATACATTGGGAAGATTTATAGAGAGGAATGCTGTTTATCAGCCTTGGATTTGGACTGCAGGGAACCATGAACTTGATTTTGCTTCTGAACTTGTATGTGGTTTAACTCTTATTTCACTTCAAAATAAGAAAAAAAAAAAAACCCAAAAACGTTATCTGTAACCAATTTTTTAACATTTTTTAATTTTAATCTGCTCCTCGATATTGTTGCATAGGCACACAGACAGAATTTCACCATATCATGTACCATATGCATCATCACATAGTACATCTCCATTGTGGTATTCAATCAAGAGAGCTTGCGCTTATATCATTGTTTTGTCTTCTTATTCAGCATATGGTAAGGATACATGGATTAAACATCTCAAAAATATGATACATGGATTAAATGTCAAGCTACCGAACAAATTTAGTGAACTAGATAAGTTGAATCAGTCACCAGGAGGCAGTAGCTTGTGTGTTATATAGCCAATGTAAATGTGTTCAGAATGGAGAGATATCATCTTATTCTGTTGATTTTCAATTTTGTTTTTAACAGGAAAATCCATTCCTCGATACAAACGGCTAAGAGATGAGCTACATAAAGTGGATAGAAGTGAGACCCCATAGCTGATTGTTCTTATGCATTGCCCAATTTATAATAGTAATTTGCATCATTACAGGGAAGCAGAACCCATGAGAGTGGTGTATGAACTATGGTTGGTCCAGTACAAAGTAGATGTATTTTTTGGTCATGTTCATGCCTATGAGCGATCCATGAGTCCCATCATTTTAAAGATTTTTTTTTTTATTTTTTAAGAATTTTTTATTAAGTCTGAATTGCCAGCCAAAAAATTTCCTCCCCTTGACCTTCAAAGGGAACCCATATGTTAGTCACTCTTCCAATGACATATGCTCTGATTTCTTTCTTTGCATTTGAACCAAAGGTGCTTTTTGTCCCATTGCTTGTACAAATAGTACCTTAATGCTTCGATTTGCTTGTCAAAAAAGCCACAGCTGCAAAGCAAAGTTTACTATATTTAATAACCCCCAATATTTCGCATTGCAGAAACGTATATCCAACATTGCATACAATGTTGTGAATGGAATGTGTACTTCTGTTAATGACCAGTCTGCACCAGTCTACATACCCATTGGAGATGGAGGAAATCAAGATGGACCAGCTACAGGGTAATGCTTATTACTATCAGTATATTGCTCCTTAAACTCTGAATTTTCTATATTCTTGATTATATCCTAATATAATATCAACTGCTCATTCTCTCTCTTGATTAAACAGCATGGTGGAACCACAGCCAAGCTTCTCAGCCTATCGGGAGGCCAGTTTTGGTCATGGTATATTCGATATCAAGAACAGGACACATGCCTACTTGAGTTGGCATCGAAATCAAGATGGATATGCCATCGAAGCTGATTCTTTATGGTTTCACAACAGATATTGGAATCCCCTGGGAAAATCTTTTTTAGCTTCCTATTAATCTGTCATTTATCTAAACTAATTCAGAAACACTAGCCAAACTTTTTTTTAATTTGGCCGTTTTATGGTTATTCTAGATGCGTGCTGGATTTGAACACACTTTAGCTTACTCTAATTAGCAGAATTTAATAGTAATATTTTCTTAAAATATAGTGTAATAGTTAATTGGAACATATCCCAGGTCTGTCATGGAGGAAAACATTTTGAATTTTAAAATTTGTGTGTGAACAGAAGTTCTCAGCAAAAACAATTTTGTGAACAGAAGTTTTGTCTTTTGTTGGAAAAAGAAAAACGGAACAAATGTCTTGTTCACTGTATGTACCAGAAAAAACAAACGGAACAAATTTAGGCAAAATAACTGCGCATGCTGACAAGAGAAAGACAGCAAGAAGATTATCCGTAAGTCCTCAATCCAAACGTTTCTAACTAAACATGGATTGAAACGTAGTAAATAGTTGAACATCTGCAAATGTGAACGATGCTGATCATACAAACTTTGAATTGATTAATTTTAGTCTTTCCGACAGAAACCAGGCAATGAGATAGAAATACATACTATTATTATTGGTGGAAAATGTAAGATCCACGTCCGTAGACTTAAAGGATTATTCTCGGACGAAAACATGTGTTACTCATGTTTGATTTTGTACAAAGGTTATACACTTCGACATAGAAGCTGGCTAGAACAGCATGTGACTGATATTTAGAGAAATATAAATAAGAAAACTTAAAGCCAGGACCCAGAAAAACCCATGTGATTTTCGTGGCTATTACTGTGGAGTGTAGGCTGTAGGACACTGCATAATTCTATTTACACATTTATGAACAGAAGACAATGTGAGACTTTCACCTTTTTCCATGTAAGCTAATAGCTAGCTTAGCTTTACATGCACCATGGGGATTGCAAGGCGTCCCAGCCAGTTGCATCCACAAGGTTGCCAGCAAAACTGCCTGGATCATCCATCACTGGAAAATCTAATGACATAGCAGCTTCTGCCCAAATGGAGTCGTCTAAAACAGGCAAGTTCACACTCATATTTTCCCAGAACCCATCAATTCCATCTTCATTTTGCCCAAATTTTGCATTTTTCTCCGCCAGCTTCCCTTGAGAATCAATGTTCTCGTTGGGGAAAGACATGACTGAATCATTATTGAACAATGGAGTTACATCATTGGCCCTGATAATAATTGGGCTATTTGATGAACTCGTACCTGATGAATTGTTCAAGTTTTGGGGTTGGTTCCCCATTGGAGCAATCTGAGTATTGTCTGAAGAAGGTGGATACTCGGGGGCGTTGACACATAATTCTGGCAAGTTGAGCTTGGCATCGGAGCCGTAGAGTTTACTGGCAGCAGCATCATAAGCCATTGCAGCTTCATGAGAAGTGTCAAAAGTTCCAAGCCAAAGACGAGCACCACGGTTGGGTTCACGAATTTCAGCCACCCATTTGCCCCAAGTTCTCTGCCTGACACCTTTGTAAGTGCAGAGAGCATTCTCTGGACCTCCCTTTCCTCTCATGCACCCTTTTCTCGAGCTTGCTTGTGCAGGTTTCTTGACTTGTTTTCTCTCTCCAAAGCCACCCGTGACTGATGTTGACATTGTTCCAACAGAGAAACAGGGGAAGTAAAAAAAATGAGGAAAGTGATTGATAAGCACATTGCATGAAAAGGTGTAATGGTATTTATATGGCAGCAAAAGGAGATAAGAGCTCAAATGGGGGTAATTAAGCTTGCCTGAAACGTGTCTTAAGATGGGTTTGGGATGATGGTTGGCATGAAGACCCTGTTTGCTCGTGTTGACAGCGAAGCTCACTGTCATTTCTCATGGACACACTTGGCCTAGACTCTTGTCTGCACACAAGCTCAAGTGGCAAACAGGGAAGGGAAAAAAAAAAGGAAAATGTAGCTAGATTTTGTAAATTCTAGGGGGAGAAAAAGAAGAAAATAATGGATGACGGTCAATTTAATAATTGGAAACGGCATGTTCGGGCGATCGGTTGGAGATAAGAACATGGGAAGGGTTAACACATGACAAATGACAAATTAGAAAGGGAGTTTTGACACGTGGGGGCTCCCAAGTACATTGAGGTGGTGGACGCCTTGGAAGTCAGTGTGAACTTTGAAACCATCCAACCAAAAAACAAACCTATGAAACCAGGTTCAAGAATGGCCTTAAATTCATGCATCAATAGGGCCCATGCTGCTATTACTTTGCCAAAAAGATCCCTTCGTACACTGAATCTTTCCGAGTCAAAATATGATATGGACTCAGGGTTCCAACTCGGTTGTCTCCGTTATACTTTATTCTATCTAATCGCCCCAACTCCTTTATTGTGTCTTGTCAAAAGATTTCCAGGGCAGCTTGTCTCAAATTCACATTTCACTCGTATCAAAATACTGTCTCGATTTGCTTGTGTACGAATTAATGAATCACCTCTACCAACTAACAACTATGTGGTTTTAAACTTATGACTAACGCTTCAAAAAGTAAAGAAAAATAGGGGAGATGGGAAAAATTTTTTAGTATTATTTCCCAGGTAAAGCTAGAATTGCTGTGCCGGCAAACCTATTATCTTGTTTTACGGATCATTTTCAAAAAAAGAAAAAAAGAAAAGAAAGAGTTGAATTCTTGGGCTAATATTATTGTATATGGAAAAGCAGCCCATGACGATGCAGACTTACATTTCAAATGGAAATCCAACAACAAGAATCCAACAAAGCTAATTTCCAAGTCCAATAATGGGCGGCCCTCGATTTTAAAGAAGTGGCTTCCAACTTAAACGATGGCAAACATGGCCCCGCCTAGATGACTCCCTAACCAACAATGATAAGTTTCAGAATTTTGAACAGTTACATTAACCCCCCCAAAAAAATGGTCAACCCTTGTCTTAATGGCAAGTTTCATTTGTTTTTAATTTCAAAGAAATTTACTAGTTAGGAGTTAGGCAAGAAAACATTACAACTCAATATAATTTATTTTTATTATCAAAAAGTAAAATTTCAAAAAATATTTCGTAACCATGTAATATTAACAGTAAGATACAAATTGAATTCAAGTAAAAAAAAAAAAGTTTAAAATTTATCTTAATCAAGTGGTACTACTAGTTACATAATTTAACTAAGAAGAGTTTTTGGATTTCATTGGGGGCAGCTAACCCCATTTCCCCCATTGCAAAATTCACTGCTTTGAAAGGCCATTCACGGAAAGAGGCAATCAGGAAAACTTCAAAAAGTGCATGAACATTTAGACGCACCCAAAGGACCAGCGTCACAGCCTTTACAGAGTCGCAGGCAATCACTATATTGTCAACCACGATGAAACCTTACAGCAAATGCGTAACAAAACCATATTCGCAACAACATTTTAAGCAGCCTTAACTGTCCCTCACAGAAATTCTTTCAAATTTTCCTCTTCAGCTTTTCAGAAAGTCCTTCAAAGAAAATGGGGGAGGCCCATCCTACAAAACCAAGTTTAATGTAATGTTCGGTCTAAGTATTCAAGACAGAATTTGACTCCAACCAAAGGTAGCAGTTAATGACTACACATTCATACAATAAAATACCTCTATTTATTACCTTAGCATGCTCTTGGTTTAAGCATTGTCTAACTAACGTTGTTTGTTGTATCAGCCTTTCCATTGCCGTATAGCTAGGATGGTTTGCATGAGCTGACATGTAATTAGTAAAAGAAAGAATAATCAAATTGAGTGACAATAAATAGCAGTTAACCATAGGAAGAAAGAATCTATACAATATTCTAAAAGGTAATCTGGCGCAAGAAGTAGATATAAGAATTAAACAAACCAAGAATTGCTCGATTTAAACTCTCTGCAACAAGACGCCGGTGCTCCAAGCTAATTAGATGAAACATTGGAGATTTCTCTGGTTCCTCATATGCAAGCAAAGCCATAAAATCCTGCAGTAACAGCAATGTCTTTCACTATCTGACACATAGATTAGATGCATGAAAATTTGCTAAGTTTACATACTTCAAGCTTTTCAACATATTTTTGCTCCTTCCCAAAAGGGGACAACTTCATCCGTGCAAATTCCAGAGCTTCTGTGCTGCAACAGAAGTGAATTTTTTTAAAACAATACATGTATAGAATACCTGTCATTCATAATTCAAGAGATTTCCTGTTTTCTTCTCACCATTTTCTAGAGCATACGAGCTCGACAAAATGAAGGCTTAGAAGATCAAAATGCAGGTCCTTATTTTTCTCTAATAAGTTAGTTGCCAGCTGTTCAGTCAATTCAATGGCCTTAAGTGCATTACCCTCTAAAGCAAATTGAAAAATTCCTGCACAAAATCCCAACAAAATTGTCAGCATTTTCAGACTATAAAAGAGAGGTGACAGCAAACTAATACAGAGAAGATATAATTCATGGTAGTAAGATCACTGCTAAGAAATCGACTTGGCTGGCAAGATTGACACTTGTTTCTTTTGTGGTTCCATTGCAATATTTCAAAAAAAATTGTAGTACCTAATACAGCTTAGCAGTCAAGCATGCAGAAGCAAGTTCTCAGTTTTTGCAGAAATTGAGTAAGCTAAGTAAACCATCTATTAGCCATATTTCAGCTTGGATGTCAAATACTCCAAATCCCTTTAATTTTTCTTGACACATACCCACATGCACACTAGTTCACCTTTGAAACTCTCAGTAAAGAATGCCAAGATAGACCCAACCATTAGAAAACCTTGCATCTTTGACAATCGCAAATGCATTGGTGGAACAAATATGCATCAGCATAGTAATCCTAGGTTATCTATATCTCATGCATAAAATTTATCAAGTGAGAAAAACTTCACCTACTTTTTCTTTTTTCCATGTCCTCAAGATAATCAGAAGGCTGCTTCATCCCAGTACAAGCAATAAAAGATTCCACGGTTTCTTTAAAGCAATTGTGCACAAGATATGACATAACAATGTTGTGGATGTCATTATCATTGACTTCCTGTAAAAACAACATGGAGATGGAAGCCCCGATGTAAGAAGATAAGGCTACTGAAGGGACAGAACTATAACATAGATTAATCTATATTGCCATTCTGGAGCTCCATTGTCAAAAACGAAGATGAAAAAAGGAGTCCATAAGAATGTGGACTACAAGATAGATTGAACCAATCTTATAAAGCAAATTACAAAATTCATCAAAAAAGGACCGAAGATGAGGAATGCTATTTTAAGTTGTGACACCATACACTATTGGCTAGGACATGACAGTATCACATTACACCAACGCTACTAATTATTGCTACAAGAAGCAGCTGAAACAATAGTAACTTGCCAAATTCCATATAGCACCGAAAATCACGAAACAAGGTTAAGACTTAGATTCACACTAGATTAAACAACCCCAAAATAACCTGCTACCAAGAACTACACTAAGACACAAACAAACTTTCCGAACGAATATTCAAGATTTGAACTTGTGGAAGTGCAGCAAACTCCCAATCGAAGAGTCGACCCCACTAGAATCATGGTTTTACTTGCTTCCATGATTTATCTGTCAACCATAACAGTATAATACAAAGAGCCTTGCATAGTGGTTCTATTGCAAAACCAAGCATGCATGTATATAATAGAACCCACGCTTAATTCGGAATCAGAGTTAAAATTCAAACCCTAACGAAACTTTATAGCCGCAATAAGTAACAAAATCCATGATTATAATAAATCCCTAAGAACCCAGTAAACTATAGCAAACTTATTAATCTGCATAATTGCACAATACCCTAATTTCTTAAGTTCAATTAAAAAAAGATATCAGGCTTTGGATTATTCGAGAAAAAATAAAATTTCAGCAACAATGCAATTAACCAAACAAATTAAAAGCATAAAACTATATTACGATTTTCAAAAATAATTCAAAATTTCAATTTCACAACTGAAAAGAAATGGGGGAAAAGGTTTAAAACTTACAATGTGTTCGTACTGACGAGGATCAACGTCCATGATTGGGCAGATTATGAGAATTGAAGCTTTGGGGTTTTGGTGTTTAAAAAATAAATATAAATAAATAAATAGGGTGGATGGGCGTTGGCGTTTTCGCGGATATCTCAGTCCGTAGGAAGAAGGCGATCTTCGCAGTCTGTAACTCTCTCTCTCTTTCTTTGTGTTTTTATTTATATTATTGTAGGATACGTTTTAAAGTGCGATCGGATCGAATTGCTATTTCTTTGAGTACATGTGCATTTTTTCAGAATTCCTGTGTTTCAATGGCTAAGGGCAACATTTGACTTGCAATTATTTTTATTACAATTATTAAATTATTTAATCATATTTATAAATTATGTAAGAATTTTCACTTAATAAGAATATATTTTACACAATATTTTTATGCCTTTTGTTTTTTCTTTATAAAAAAATCATAATTTAGGGATAAAAAATTATAAATGAAAAAAAATTAAATTCATATTTGATATATTTTATTTTTTAAAAGTAATTAAATGAATTTAATTAAATTAAATTTTAAATTTAATAATTCTTATCTATAATTGGTTATAATTGTAATATAATTTACCTCAAAATTCTTTCATCCTAGTTTACCTAATATTTAATGTTCTTCAATCATTTGTTTTAAATCAATAATATTCAATATATTAAACATTTAATTTAATAGTCGATGCATGACATTTGAATTGATCAATTTTTTTTTCTCAAATAAAAAAAATAATATTCATAAATTACTCATTTGCTTACATTATTAATTGCATTTCTTACATGGGCTAAATCAAGTCTACCGTAAAGGAGAATTTGTATTCAATTTTTTTGGATAAGATGATTATCCCATGAATAAAACTTATTTTTATAATTATTTTTAATTGTATAATTAAACAATCAATGAATTTGTATACCAATATTAGAGTGGTCAATTCAACTCATTCATAGCAGATTTCGATCCGATCCGATCTTATAGTATCGTTTTTTTTCTTTTCAAAATTGGATTTTAAGTCGGATCGAATAACGTTAAAAAAAAAGTCGGGTTCAAATTTTAGATAAACTCGTCCGAACCAGATATTATATAAAAATAATTTTTAAGTTAATTTTTTATTTATATATTTTATATAATTATATATTTAAATATTTATATTTAAAAAATAATATTTTATATTTAAAAAATAATATTTTATTAATTTTAGGTCTGATTGGATATGATTTATATAATATTAGATCGGATTCGATTCAAGTATTAAAAAAATAAAAAATTTTGATCGGATCAAATTCGAATTTTGATAAATATAAAATCGGATCGAGTTCAAGACGAGCAAAAACTTACCATTTCCTTACCCGTTACCATCCTTAACCAAGATCAAGTTAAAAAGACAAAATAATTGAGTAGTTTAATTAATTTATATAATAATCTTTAAAATATGATGTTAAATATTTTTAAATTTTAAATTTTAATATTTATAAATTTTTTTTGCATCTCTTTTATATAAAAAAATTACCCAAATTTCTTTTTAATTTTCTTAAAATCTAGCTCTTCAATTAATTCTTTTTAGTTATGGAGAGCCAAAAGGAGTATGACAGTGAACTGATTATTCCTAACATTTATTCTTTCGGTTAACAACTTTCCTACAGGTTATGACTTATACGGAGCTTAAACGATCTTGATTGCAGACAAACAGATCCTCTAGCTTGTCGCCTGTCAATTGCTCTAATGAACAGTGAACAAACGACATATATTGAGAAATGCATAAGCGTGCAAAAAATATCATGAACAAACCGACAAACACATGCCCCCACGCATTGGAATTCACTGGATCTAAGTATATAGTAATTTTAGATTCGTTTGTTTTGCTGAAAATAGTATTAAAAAATAAGTTTTAAAAAATATTTATATTTTTTCAATTAAAAAAGATTTTTTATTATTTAAATAAATTAATAAAAATATTTTCATAATTTTATTGTTTGGTTATTTTTTAAAATATTTTTTAAAAAAATAATATTTATATAATTATTAAAATATTAAGAATTATTTATTATTAAAATATATTGAAATTATTTATTATTAAAATTATTAATATTAAAAAATAATTACATTTTAATAATAATATTTAATACTAAAATATTATGTTAATATAAAAAAAATTAAAATAAAATAATTTTTTTATTTTATATATTATTTATTAATATATAATATTGATATTATATTATTTATTCATATAATATTATCTATTAATATATTTATTAATTAAATTAATAATATTTATTAGTATTAATATATTATTATAATATTTATTTATAATAATATTTATTAATATATTATTTATTAATATATTATATTAATAATATATTATTCATAAATAAAATTATGTTCAAAAGTGTTGACAAATAATTTTTTTAAATTCATAAGATAATTTTTTAAAAAATAATTTTATTTTTTATTAAACAATAAATAATTTTATTTTTTATTAAACAATAAATAATTTTTTATTGATCAATCAAATTTTTATTAAATAAAAATTTAAAAATTATTTTTTTAAAATCATTTTTCACGGGGCCATCTTTCAACAGTCGGACATTGCAAGAATTTAGGAGCTGGGTCGTTTTAGGACAATTTCCCTATCCAGTTTCGCTCAAAGCAAGCCATGTTCTCACTTCCTCTTTGGATGCCCACATTTCTAGGCTAGCAAATATATACCATTGAAAAAACCCGAAACACCCTTCTTTTTCTCACAACAAAAGATGGAACCCTTTGGTGCTTCTTTTCTGTTATCTTTCCTGCTTTTCTTTGACCTTTCTTTTGCTTCTTCTCCTTCTCATATCTCTCATCTCTTTGAAACTTGGTGTGATGAACATGGTAAGAAGTACTCATCTGAAGAAGAAAAATCTTACAGAATTAAAGTCTTTGAAGACAATTATGGCTTTGTTACTCAACACAATGATATGGCAAATTCTTCTTATACTTTGGCTCTCAATGCTTTTGCTGATCTCACTCACCACGAGTTCAAGGCCTCCCGCTTGGGTCTCTTTGCTGCTGCTGCCATTGATCACCATAGACAACCAAACCTTCAGGAGCCAGGCCTTCTTCAAGGTATTCCAGAGTCCTTGGATTGGAGGAAGAAAGGGGCTGTGACCCAGGTCAAAGATCAAGGGAGCTGTGGTATGCAAATGTTTTGCTATGAAATCTTTTACTTCACTCGTTTTGGATGGTGTTTTTTTGTGTTTCAATTTTGTTGGGTTGATGATTGATGACTATGCCTTTTGTTCTTGGGTTAACAATGTTGAATTTTAGTATATTGCTTTACTTTTTCTTTATGAATTTAAGCTTTTTTGAGACCAGCACAGTTTTCTTTTCTTTCTTTGGATAATTAACAAGCATTGATTAGATTTGAGCTTGATCTAGATCAAATAGCTTCTTCTTTTTTTCTAGTTATCATGAAATTTAAGAAAATTGAACACTGACCAAGGAATTTGTCTGAATAGAGTGCTCTATACCAGTTAGTCTATGCATAGGCAAGAAATATTGATACTGGAAACCTCCATTTTTAATTTATTTACCATATTGAGGGGATTTAGGTGTACAACAATCCCTATGGTTTTGAATTATTCAAGTTAATTCAAGGTTCTTGATCATCACCTTTAGGTTGAGTTTGATAACTTGAATTTAAAAGATATGATTTGGATTCTAAATTTAATATAAAGTGTGTAATACGATATTGGTAAATATGACTTTCGTGATTATTTTCAAATTTATGAATTTGTTGGATATCTATTTAGTGTTGAATTTGAAATTATCTTTTTATACAATTTATATAGAAAAATTAAATATAAATTTACTCTCATAAATTTATCTGTCCAAACATATCCTGTTTCCCAAAGTTTTGGATTTAAATGCATAAAATCATTATGAATAGGTTATTCCAATACCATAAGTCATACATGGCAACATCAGAAGCTATATTTTGAGTTACAAGTTGCAGATTGAGCCTGTTTTATGTAAATTAGACAGAGACAAGTCTAATTATTGTTCTTGTATAGGTGCTTGTTGGTCATTCTCAGCTACTGGAGCTATAGAAGGTATAAATAAAATTGTCATAGGATCTCTTGTGAGCCTATCTGAACAAGAATTGGTTGATTGTGATAGATCTTACAATAGTGGCTGTGAGGGTGGGTTGATGGATTATGCCTATCAATTTGTCATTGATAACCATGGAATAGACACTGAAGAAGATTACCCATACCAAACTCAGGAAAAGACTTGCAACAAGGAAAAAGTAATATTTCAGTTCCCTAATTTTTAGTTTTGTCAAGAAGTTAGTCTCATACTAAACTTTTTATTCAGTAAATTTAGTTTTGATATCTACTTTTCTTATTTATTGCAGTTGAAAAGGCGTGTGGTAACAATTGATGGTTATACTGATATACCAGCAAATAATGAAAAACAGCTATTACAAGCAGTGGCAACTCAGCCTGTGAGTGTAGGTATATGTGGGAGCGAGAGAGCATTTCAGTTGTACTCCAAGGTTAGTCCTAATACTCATCTCAGAAAGCTTCATTTCCCTGATCCACTATCATTCTGATTAACAGTTTTTTATGTGACAGGGGATATTCACTGGTCCATGCTCAAATTCCTTGGACCATGCTGTGTTAATTGTAGGTTACGGTTCAGAAAATGGGATGGATTATTGGATCGTAAAGAACTCATGGGGAACACGTTGGGGAATGAATGGTTATATTCACATGATACGTAATGGTGGCAATTCTGAAGGGATTTGTGGCATTAACATGCTGGCTTCATATCCAACAAAGACTAGTCCAAATCCACCTCCTCCACCTCCACCAGGACCGACTAAGTGCAACCTTTTTACTTACTGTTCAGCCGGGGAAACTTGTTGCTGTACACATCGTGTATTTGGAATATGTTTTTCTTGGAAATGTTGCGAATTGGATTCTGCTGTTTGTTGCAAGGACAATCGGCACTGTTGTCCTCATGACTATCCTGTTTGTGATACAAAAAAGAATCAGTGCCTCAAGGTTAGCATGAACCTTTTTTTTCCATTAGACACTGAACTTCGATATCTTAAATAATCAAAGTATGGCATGATAGAAGGTTTTAAAGTCTAGACTAATGAATATCTTGTGCTTACAGCGTATTGGAAATGCTACTAGAATGGAAACATTTGATAAGAGGCAGGCTTCTAGGAAGTTCAACCGTTGGTGGTCCGTTGTTGAGAATTTGATTTAATGAAGTTGAGCTGTAAGACATTTTCCATAAACTGCTGTTCAAGTTTCATCTTTATACCATAGAGATTATATCTATGTAATCATTTGTTGAGCATTCTGAAGCCTTGAAATTGATTGGCTGAACACATTTATTGTTCAACAGAATCTTGCCTTTCTTTACCAGTTTTTATACTGGTGGCAGAAGGAGGTTTGGAGGTTTTCTAAAAGATTACTACAAATTGAGGATTATTTTTAGTTATTTCACGGCTTTATTCAAAATAATTTTTTATTTTTTAATTTGAACATTTTAGTACCCGGTGGCAGCCTAGTCTAAAGAGATGTTAAAGGCTCTATATATTAGCCAAAACCAATAACGAGAATAAGAAAAAAAGAAGAAAATGGGTATAGTTAACGGCCCAAGTTAAATTACAATATCATAATGTTGAGCTTCAGAAGCCGGAGTTTAATCCGATAGCAAAAAATGATAGGCTTTTAACAAGTCTTGGGCTTTGGCTTGGGCTTTCTTAAAGCATGACGTTTTTTCACGTATGCCCAACTGAAAGCAAAACAAGCACGGACGCACTGCCGTTAGCCCTCTTCATGACCTTGTCCAAACTCAAAAGGACCATTAGATCCCTTTACACGGAATTATTGTCACCGGTGATCACGTAAATGTTGCGTCACATACATACGAGAAAGCAAAAAAACTCGAAATCGATGAATTTTGATTCGACTTAATTTTTTAAGATCGATTTTTTTATTTTTTTAAAAATTAAATATCGAATCAGATCGAGTGATATAAAAAAAAAATCAGAATTGGATCGAGATCGAGTTTTAAGTAAACTCAATATTACCCGACCTGATATATATAAATAATTTTATAATTATTTTTATATATTTATATATATTTAATTTTATATTTATATTAAAAATAATATTTTATTAATTTTGGGTCTGATCGAATATCATTTTATATAATGTCCGATCAAATCGGATTTAAATATAAAAATAATAAAAAATTATAAGATCGGATTCGAGTTTTACATGTTTAAAAGTCGGATCGAATTCGAAACAAACAAAAATTCGTCTCAATCTGACCCGTTGCCATCTCTAGACAATGTCTTGATAATTTTCATAAACTGATCTCCTCACAAGAGATTTCTTTTATGCATCTCCGTCAAGTTCTTCAAAGACTCCATAAAAGATCCAGAAGATAAGTCAGATAAGACTTCAGGAGGATTCAAATATAATCTTTTTTTATGCTAACTGCACGATGAGAAGTCAAAGCTAAATTTCATAGCCCTACACTAAAAGCTTAGTCATTTATACGGTTTAAGAACGATACCAACTTTGGATTGGCTGGCAATAACCACTCTGGCACTTTGGAGGTTAGAATGTCCCTGAATAACACCTGCTGCAGTCACCCTATGCATAAGCCATCCAATATCTTCCTGAGCTCTGCCCATTAATCCATACTTGATCCTTTCCCGTGCTACGCATATACAAAGCCAATGGTTAATCGCCTCTTGGGGCATTGAAATAAATCTGCAACATCCAAGCCAAGATTTAGCTTCTGACACCAACTAAAAATCCAAAGTCATTTATCACACACATCCAAAAACAGAAAGAAAAATCCCCTTATTCATCACCTTGCCATTCCCTTGCCCGATCAGCTTTACTACCTTATACTAACTATGTCAGACTGCCAACTCCGTGTAGATCGTGAAACTCAGATCCATTCAATAGGATTAGGTCCATTAGACACACCAAATTCATCACTTCTCCATTTAAACTGTTTGAAAGTAATTCTGAGAGCCTAACTAGCTTCTTCTGGCATTTATAAAGCATCAGCGAAACAGGTAAATCATAATTTTTGCAGATGAATGCAAGTTGTCAAACCTGGTTTGACCATGTATGCAATGTCGAGTCTTTCTTTCCTAGGTCAACGCCATGCAAGAAAATACCTAGAATTCTCTTTTTCCATGTCTCATAAAGCAGTTCAACATTCTTTAAACCACAATAAAATTGTACCAGTAGTTGAAAAATGATTTGAGCCTAAGGCTTTGGTTGGAACAAGTTTAGTTCTGCCCCATCCTAATGAATCCATAGGGTAAAGGAAAGGCCTGATCTCAAATCACAAATCTGCTAGCAGTTAACATTATGGTCAAGAGCAACTAACTAGTAATCCAACAACTATGCTAACAAGTGCAAAGTGATTTGTTCCCGCTTGTAGGTTCACTGGTCTGGAAAATCTGAATCTCTGGTTTTCCCCAGTCGCAGAGGCTGACTCTGATTTTATCATATGATTTGGTATGACTTAGAAAGCAGATAGCAAAATTCATTGCTATAAATATGCGATAGGTTCAAGACCATTCCAAAAGACATGTGTCTATGACATCCAAGCCTCCATCTTTATTCTTTAGCCTTCTTTGTAAGATACTGCCACATCTAAATCCAAAAAAAAAACCCAAAAAACTCTGTTCTTTTTTTTTTTTTTTTGTGGTTTCAAGGGGAAAAAAAAAGAGTGAAAGACAATCACTTCAGGCCTCGGGGGCTTCTGGAATAATGAATGGAGCCAGAGATGAGAACTCTCCTTTGTCCATACTGCGATGGATCAGCGTAGAACACACTAACAAAGTGTGTGAAGAACAAAATCCACGGCTTGGAAACTGAGCTAGTTTTTATTTCCCTTCAATCCACTCCAAGCTTAAGAATCCAACAAGATGCAATATAATAAAGAACAAGACATATCCAAAAAGACTAGCTTTTGTGCAATAATAATTCATTCAAGATTCTAACAACTAGTAGTAAAAAACAAGCAGAGATTCCATATCAACAATTTACAGATTCGTGTATAACAAATTATGCATCAAAAACGTCTATATATTCACCAAATTCTCAACAAAGTTCGCTTAAATTTACTCAAATTCCTCGTCATGAAGAGGGAAACACGTCTTTCACAGCCGATGCGGCGGACAAGTAATTGAGAGTGTTCCTTAAAGTTTCCTTCTCTCTTTTTAACCTGGCCGCCGTATCTTCCAACTCCAGCAAAGCTTGTTGCTCTCTAGGCGCCCCTTCGAATGTGCTCCCTACAAAAAAAGAAAACGGCGTCGGAAATAGGTTCCTCCTCAAATCCTGCGCTTCCTTTTCCGGTTTCCCGTTAAGCCGATTCGATAACCGAATCACGTCTTTCATGTAACTCTCCACTTCATTGGCTAATCCTTCTAAATCTTCGTCGCCGGAGGGTCGGTCTTCGAGCCAGTTGACTTCCGCGACGAGATACGGCTTCGTACGGACGATGTTGGTGACACGGAACCGTTCCTGGCCTTTACAAATGAGGAAGAAGCGGTCATCGACGAGACGTTCGTGTTTGACTATCTCGCCGACGCATCCGACGTCTGCGGTGCCGGAGACGGCGTCGGAGTAAATTACGCCAAAGCGGAGGTCGGTGTGGAGGAGCGTGTGCATCATAATGCGGTAACGGAACTCGAAGATCTGTAGTGGGAGGATAGCGCCGGGGAAGAGAACTAAGGGAAGAGGAAATAGAGGGAGCTCTGCGACGTCGTCTGGTTTAGGAGGATTACTGTGGTGTTTCTCGGGGAAAGAGGAAGCGGAACACTGGAGGGAGTTGAGCCTATGGAATCTGCGCGATTGAGAGCGAGAAGATGACTTTGAAAAGGGCTTCAATTTAGGGTTTAAAAGAGAAGGATTGGCTGCTTTGGGGTTTATCAGAGGTTGGTGAGTGAGCGAAGATGAAGAATGGGAAGGGATTAGCTGAAGGAGAGCCATTGAGAAAACACCAGAAACTGTTCGATGTTTTGCGTAAGTGAAAAAATAATTACATAAATAAAAAGAAATCCTAAAAATGAGTACTTACCACTACTTTCCCATTCGTTGAAGAAAACAGGAAACTAATTTTTATTTTAAGAATATTATTATTGTCTTCTGTAAAAGCTTGGGAAAATCTAGTGCGTGTGAAATGTGGATCGGAGGATCCCACGTAGGAGTTGCGCTGTCTGGATTTTTGTGGCACGTGTGTTAAATTTTGGACTCGAATTTCCTTTGGACAATTAGGATGGTGGTGCTTGCTGTTTCATGGTTCATTTTCGGTGGGGTTGCATTGGTTATAAAATTTTGGGATAATGGAGAGAGATTCTTTGCATAATTCGACCAACGATTCCAACCCATGTAATTCAAGGGAAAGAATGGGGTCAAATGGTATCATAGTCATAGTATTACTTGTTTTGAAACGTTCTTGAAGATAATTACATACAATCTTTCTCCCAACTTGATTGAAATATAAAATTCGTTAAGTTTAGGCATCAATTTTCAACAATTAAAATTTTTTTTTATTTGTTTCTTATTATTCAATTTTTGTGAGAAACACTTTAAAAATAAAATTTTAATGTGAAAGATTACATTTTAAAAAACGTTTAAAGAAATTAAATTCAAACAAAAATGAAATAGTCTTAATCATATATATATAAATATATTAAAGCAAAAAGGGTCTGGAAAATCCCTATATATATATATATTTTTGGTACAATTATAGGTGCAAAAGTAATATAATCTATCATTTTAACATTATGAAAAAGAAACATAACCCTTTTTAGATGGTCCATCTTTCAATCCCACTTCTAACTTTTGTTCATTTCCCTTCCTATTTCCAATTTAATGATAAATTTACAATTGCTTTGCATATAAAACCCTTATATTATTTCAAAAAAGGAAAAAAAAAAAAGACCCTTATATAATATTCGGAACTACCAATTAAAATGGATAATAATATGTCAGGCCATAAGATTTTCATATTCTTATATTAACACATAATCATATGAGAGTCGAATTATTTCATATATATTTTTAAAGAATTTAACATATTAAAACCCAATTTGAGGAAAAAAGAAATAAATATAATATTTGTATTAGAAAAACACCATCTATACCGAACCCGACCGATCATAGCTGATGGTCTAATGTTATGGGATTGGGCTTCTTAAGAGTTAAGCCTGACTCCAACCCAATAAAAACACAATAAAAAAGGTTTTTAACAAGTTTTGGGCTCTAGCTTCGGCTTGCGTAAATCATTACGTTTTTTTACCGTCATCCCGCGCCGCCAGGTAGTGTCGCGTCCTTATCCAAATTCGAAAGGGTCCTACGTGGAACTATTATCACCGTTGATCACAAAAATTTTGCTTCGCTTACATGGGAGAATGCGTGATGTGTTTCCAGAGCATTACCAATGGCATTCTCGTAATAAGTCTCTAAATTCGTCTATATAAGGAATCGCCGCGTTGCTCTAGGTAATTACTGCTTTTTCGATCATTTCAGCTTCGATGTCGAAAGGAAGGGAAAACAATAGCGGAAGTAATCGGCTGCCACACTGTTGATTCATGGAACGAGCAGCTCCAGTTGGCAAACGCGTCCAAGAAACTGGTAAAAATCTATTCTATCTTTGGATTAACTAAAGAAAGCGGTAAAAATCTGTTCGTTCTTTGGATTAACTAGAACTTTATGTTTGTGAGATTGTTGGAAAATGAGTTTTCTTTACTTCTCTTTTTCGTACCTTTTGTTTGTTTGAAATGGGTATGCTTTTTGTTTTTCTTCTAATTCATCAATTGTAATTCAGTGAATGCAAACAGAACTTGGGTTAATCACTGAAAATTGATAGCAAAACACGGTTTGATTTCAATGCAAGATTTAGATTCTTTGATTTTCGTTTGCCTGATTCGATCTTACATTTGGACTTGAAATTCTATCCCGTGCTTAATTGTCACAACAGTTGTTTAGTGATTACTTCGATTTATCCTATATTGTTGTTTGGATAGGTGGTGGTGGATTTCACAGCTTCATGGTGCGGGCCATGCCGTTTGATTACACCAGTCCTGGTAGAGCTTGCTAAGAAGCTGCCTCAAGTCATATTCTTGAAGGTTGATGTGGATGAATTGAAGGTAGGATCTTTAAAACCTTTGCTTAATAAAGTGTGTAATTAGCTTTTGATTTTTATTAACTTGACTCAACCAGAGGATGGTAAGTAGTAGTAATAAATTTTCTTGACAATATTTCCATGTATTTGGCAGACCGTGGCTCAGGATTGGGCTATCGAGGCAATGCCAACTTTGATCTTTCTGAAAGAAGGCACCATAGTTGACAAGATTGTGGGTGCTAGGAAAGATGAACTGTATCAGAAAATAGCTTTGCATTCTTCCGACTCGGTGCAGACGGCATGAATCGACGTTTAGTCGTACTCTATGAAGTTTGAAGTTGTTTCTGGAACTATGGTTTTACTTAATAAATAATAAATGATGTCTGTCTGGGCAAATATTAAGTAACGTGCCGTTGTATTTGCATTTGGCTACTGTCTGCTTCCGACCTTGTTTAAATTTGAGGTCTATCTTATAGTAAAGTTAGTCTAATATTTTCTGAGCGTAGAATCCAGTGCATTACAAAGAACTGCCACTGTCGATAGCAAATTAAAATTGGAAATTAGAATGATTCATTTCTTGAAAGCACACTTGACAATGTCGAACAATATTGCTTCTTGCATGGCATTTTGAGAATGATTCTGGCACTCCTCTCAATAGAAAGAGAAGGCCAAAAAGTGGGATTTCAAACTCAGATATCAACCGGCTAGCCTGTAGTCACTCGGTACTTTACAGAGGATTCATCCATGCCAAATCTAATGACGGCTGCCTAATTCTAAAACCTTTATATTGCTGCCACAATTTAACGATGGTGAAATAGCATTTAGACAATGAAACTGAAATATCTTATCCACCCATATATCTACTCTACTCTTCTTTTATTTTCTCCTTCTCAGCTGCATCCCTTATTTATGACTGTGTCTAAGCAATGTTTATAAAACTGATCGCCTCACAAGGGAAATTTTTGATGCATCTCCGCCAAGTTCTTCAAACACTACCAACAAATTTTGTGTTGGCTTTAGCCATGATCTTGGAACGTGATACCTGAAAAATCCAGATTATAAAAAAGTCAGATAAGAGTTTAGGAGGATTTAAATATAACCGTATTTTATGATAACTGCATACTAAGAAGTTAGAGCTAAATACCATAGCCCTACATTGAAAGATTAGTCATTTATGGAGTTTGAGAATAATACCATCTTTGCGTTGGCTGGCCACAACCACTCTGGCACTTTGAAGGTCGGAATGTCCCCGAGTAACTACAAGGACCGCAGTCACCCTTTGCATAAGCCATCCAATATCTTCCTAAGCTCTGTCCATTGATCCATACTTGACCCTTTCCCATACTCCGCATATCCAAAGCCAACGGTTCATCTCCTCCTGGGGCATTGAAATAAGCCTGCAATATCCAAGCCAAGATTTAGCTTCCATCTAAAAAATCTAAAGTTATTTATCCCAACCCAACACCCCCTCCCAAAAAGACCCCCTACATTTCTTTGCCCCTTCAGCTTTCCTACCTTATACCATGTCATAGACTGTCGAGTCCGTATAGCTAGTGAACCTCGGATCCATTCTACGGATGAGGCTCCATTTGGAGAGACCAAATTCATTGCTTCTCCTTTTAAGCCAACCTGTTTGAGGGTAACTTCGGTGAGCCCAACTTCTGTCATTTATAAAGCATCATCGAAACAGGTAAATAGCAGTTTTTGCAGAAGAATGCAAGTTTTCAAACCTGGTATGACCATTTCTGCCAGGTCAAGTCTTTCTGTCCTTGGTCCAGGCCATGCAACAAAACACCTAGAATTCCTGTTTTCCATGTTTCGTAGTGCAGTCCAACATTCTTGAACACCACCAAAAATTTGTATTAGTAATTGAGAAACTTTACCATACAGTGTTGTGAGTTTAAAGTTTTGGCTGGGACAAGTGCAGTTCACTTGCTTTGCCCCCGTCCTGATGGATCCATAGGTAAAGGAATAGTCCGATCTAATTGTAAATGTGCTAGCTAACATTTGCAAAGCATAGTCAACAGCAACTAACCGGCAATCCAACCGCTATGCTGAGAAGTGCAATGCGATTTGTTCCAGCACGTAGTTTCACTGGTCCTGTAAACGTGAATCTCCTGTTTTCCCTGGTCCCAAAGGCTGACCCTGTGATTTTATCGTATTCCTAAGCATGACTTATGCATATATGACAGTACAGTGCTAGCACCATGTAATGTATACTTCAATCATATTACTTGATGAGTAAATCCACAAAATACCTGAGAACTGTCCGTTGATGAAGACATGAAGAGCATGGCCAGCTGAATCCACATTAAGAGTGGGCTTTTGTGCTCCCCGCAGAAATGATTCTGACGGACTTATGTCAACACTGGAATGAAATTTAAACAAGTAGAAATTATTAGCATATTGCCTCGACTACTTTATATTAAATATTATTGTGGCTACTGCCTTAAGCACTATACATACATCAGATTTACAGATACAAGAAGCATAAATATTTATGTCTGACAAACTTCATCATGTGAATTAATTTAAACTGTAGATATCAAATATGCATATGCTGTTGAGTATGGATCATCTGTAATTTCCTCCTATGTCGGTCCAACTCATTCTCTCAAGATCTCAATAAACCTCAAGTGTATCAAAATGCGGTGCCTCACCTGGTTGTGTACCACAAATAGTCACTAGTATCTCTGGTAACATTCATCTGCTCCAAGAGTCCAAGAGCTGTGATTCTTGAACTTTCCCCTAGAGAAGAAATGTCTTCATCATAATTCGCCCATGAGAACATCTTGGAGTTCACTGGCAACATTTGGATCTGTGAGGTTTTAACTCCAACCTTGATGCACATAGGACAATTATATAAGAATTTTCATAGGAAAATCAAAAGATTAAAAGAAAATCGCCTTAATTACATTAAAATAGGGCCTCTGAATTTACTTACTAATGCAGTGTTAAATGCGACATTTATGCAATCGGGAAGGATGCTAATGGACCAAGGTGGCAAATTGTAGTGCCTGTTATTAAACATCACCCTAGCAGCAGATTTCACATGGTAATTAGAGATAAAAGCTGCACAGCTTCCTTGCCTTGAATAGAATACATGGGCCTGAAAAATAATCATTATTAACATCATCAGTGAAAACTGGAAAGTTTTTTTTTTTTTTGCAAATTATCCTACTTCCAACATATAATAAATGTAATTATTGACAGAAAAAGCTTACTTGCTGATAGGCTCCCAAGGAAGTAACAGTAGGATCTGAGGAAACTAAAGCATGTTCGCATAGCTTTATAGCCCTATGAAGCTCCTTCAGATGACCATATTTAGGCTGGCGGATTAAACCTAAACGAGGTGAATTTGTCAGTCGCAAAGAGTTCAAAGAAAAAAGCCCTATAATATGTTGCTATATATACAAAAGTTAGGATCTATGAGAACATAAAAGTAAGAAAAGGAAATGAGAAAGATCTGTGGATTAATCAATTGCTCCTGTCAAATTCTGATAAGGCATGCTTAGATTGTGAAAAAATTAAATGCGTTTCACAGTTCATGGTTTTCAATATAATGAGAATGAACTCAGTTTTCTGACCATATTCATCAATTGGGGCATCATAGTCATAACTGCTTGTAATAAATGGTCCACCAGCCGTCCGTTCAAAGTTGGTTCCTCCATGGTACTATAAAAAACACATAGAGCACAAGCTGTAAGTTTAAACTTGTTGCTTGTACCATGAGTCTTTTTCAATTAAACCAAAATAAACATGGCAACTAACCATATAATAATTAATATATGAGCCACCCTTTTGTACGAAACGAGCAACGGCAAATGCCAAGTCTTCAACTGGGCGCTGGTGAATTGTGCCACCAAATTCTGTAAACCTTCTCATTTTTGAGTGAACAAATATTAGATACACAAATAAGCATATTAACTTTACATTCATTCTGAAGGGTTGGCAAAGAAATTACTCACCAGCCACTCCAAGCCTCAGTCCACAATGTAGGCTTGTAAGGTTTGTTGGGAGAGAATGCATCGCAGTAAAAGCCATTACATGCATTTATCTGTATTCAAGATGTGAAGGATAACGGAGTCAGGGTCTTTTGAGACCACATGAAATTCAATAAAGAGGAAAACTGGTTGAATTAAAAGGTAAATCATTGGACAACAAGGCAAAATCAGGGAAGGGGAGAGAGTGAGACAGTTTACCACGGGATCTGGGGCGTCGTCTTCCTTGCACATTACCCATGGGACTCCAGTATCCAGTTCAACAGCCATTTTTGCAGCCCAATTAATGTATGCATGACCAGCATCTCCAAGTGCCTTACTCTCAGGGCCATATTCATTCTCAATCTGCACAAATGAACCAATCTAAAAGAATTAACATAAATAGTAATTCAGACCAAAGCATCGATTGTTTTTGGCAGTTTAGGCTCTTAGCATCCTTCCATCTCTTATCTTTCTGAAAGCCAAATCCTAGCTAATTTGAGCAAACCAAAATTTCACTAGAAATCATAAATGCCAAAAATCAAGAATCTCAAACCTGAGAGAGGATGATGGGGCCACCCTGTGATGCAAAAAGCTTTTCATTCTTCATCATTTGGACAATTTTCTGGGTAAATCCTTGCATTGCCCTCTGTGGGGAAAAAAAAATAACACAAAACAAAACAAAAGAGAAAAAAAATTAGAATTACTTAAAAGCCTATTAACTTTTTGACTTCTCCAATTTCATTTTACTTGCTTTTCTAACTTTCTTCTTCACATTGAAAGGGAATCTTTCTCCTTTCTTTCGGATTTTTCCATTTTAGTGAAGAAATTCATAGAACAGACAAAATTGATAAAAAAAAAAAAAACAAAAACAAAACAAAAAGGTTTAAAAATTGAAAGGAGAAAAAAGAAAACACCTTGAAGGGCTCATTATCTGTTCTGAAGCTGATACCAGGAACATACTTAAGCCAGACAGGAAATCCTCTGTAGCGGAAAGAGAATGTAAGCCAATCAAATCCAGCATTCAATCCAGGAAGCAGGAAACCACATCTTTTATCAAGCAGTTACTCTTAAATATGCTAAGAAAGTTAAAAAAATTTTCTTTTAACCGAAAAGGGAAGGATAATAAAAATAGTAAGTACCCAAAATTCCACTCTGCACAAACATAAGGTCCAATGCGAAGATGAAGGTATAGTCCCATTTTTTGCACTGTCTTAATAAACCGTACCAGGTCGTATCTGCCCTCGAAATTATACTATACCATCCCAAAAACAGAGAAAACCAAAAGAAGGAACTGAAATGTTAAAGAAGTGAACTGAAAGAACACATAATTCAAGGATGACCCAGTTGAGATCTAAGATAGTACATTGCCAGGAGAAGGTTCATGACCATTCCAAAAGACATAGGTGTCTATGACATCCAAGCCCCCATCTTTAGCCTTCTTTATAAGATCCTCCCACATCTACATCCAAAAGAAAGAAATCCAAAAATCAGTCCTTGTTGTTTTCAAGGGAAATATAAAAAAATGAAAAGAGTGAACGACAAATCACCTCAGGGGTGCTTCTGGGATAATGGATGGAACCGGAGATGAGGATTCTCCTTTGTCCATTAATGAGAATAGCTTTCTTATCATAGGTAATGCTGCACTGGAGCAGCCTAGAATTCACTAACAAGGCTGTGAAGAACAAAATCAACAGCTTGGAAACTGAGCTAGTTTCCATTTCCCTTCAATAACAATGAACTTGGAGGGAAATTTTGAAAACAACAAGAAGAACTTAAATAAGTGAAGTGAGAGAGAAGTTGGCAAAACACTGATCTGCTACTCTGGAACCAGCATTGTTCTCAGTTCACATTGAGATCTCATCAGGTTTGCTGTTTTTTATCTGTACTTGGGGTATGGTTGTTACTTCCAGTTAAAAATTCGTGGAAGAGTCCTATTCATTTTCAGTCATCAAAATAATGGAGAGGGAAATAGTACTACTAGCCAAACGAAAAAAGGTTGGAGCTTTAATGGAAGAAACGGGAAACAAAGGGCGGTCCAAACCATTATTACACATTGCCATGACCCATGGTAAAAGAGAGAAGGAAATGGAAATTCAGTGACCGTACCCTAAACTTTGTATAATTATGTTTCCATTCCCAAGTTTGAATTTGGAATTTGAAGTATTTATTATTCACCGCTTTCATGTTTATTGGGACTAATAAATAAAGATATTTGACTCTTGTATAATTATTTTTAAAAAATAATATTATTTAATAAATTTAAATATTAGTATTTATAATTTTTGTCTTTTTAAAGTGCCTTTTTTATAAATAAAAAATAAAAGTATGAAGTTTAAATTATTAGATACAGACAAAATACTTAATGATAATTAAAGGAAGCAATTCATAGTTTTGTGCTAATAAAGCATTTGCCTTGTTTTTCCATTTATGTTTGTATATTTTTCATATTTATATCTAATACTTATATATCTTACCCAAAAAAAAAAAAAAAAAAACCCAACATTATAATTGTCCACCATGTATTGCTTTCATGCTTTTTTGTACTTTTATGTTTTGAATAAAATCGCATCTGATCCCAATTGGTCCATACTACAAAAATTCATACCAAATGTGATAATAATATCATAATAGAGAAATACCCTTTGCCATTGGCCCTTTGAATCGTGTATGCATGTGCAAATAATTTTCTGTCTTTTATTTCCATTTTAGGATCCTTTTTGAATAATATGCAATTTCTCAACCACACCCTTAAATTAAATATCTTGTCTGTCTCAGGTGGCATGTGATGTGTCTTGCCATTTTATTCGCTGATTTGAAAAATGAAACCAATGACGGTTTAATTTTATCGTAAGGTTTTTTCATGTCTTTCGATAATATTATCATGTTTTTCATGAATGCTAGACCAAATTTTTACTTTCAGTACTTGATTATTAAAATGGCACCTCTATATTTGCCCATGATATATTTGTTCATTCTTTTGGCATAATTCTGCAGGATCAAGAATGGCAGCAGATTTGGATCCATTGCATTTTGAGCTGTACTAAATGGAAGCAGATTAACTGCAGAATAAAGAAAAGTTGTCGTCTTCCTTTACTTCTTCTTTGATGTTCTCTCGTCTGCTTGTTGCTCCCTTTAAAGAAGAATCTTGACCTAAAACACAGTTAGCTTAGAACATAAGAAAGTGCAAGACATGTACTTAATAAATGTTTTTAGGTTAAGACCGGTTTAAAAAGCAACGTGGATTGGTTAATCATGACCACCTTCCCTGCCCATGTGCACCGTCTCTTATGCAAATTTTAAAAAATGCCTGAACATTTTACTTCTGTCGTCTACGATATTTCAAAGGGAAGGAAGAAAGGGTTGGCCCAGATGACATAACCCTAAGACAACGGGTCCTTGTTTGAATATGTTCAAACTTCAAACTCCATTAATTAGCTACATAGCTAATAATTAATACCCATGCTAGATACACAAGCTTTGTATTATCTCTCTTTGCCGATTTGTCTAAGGAATTATTACTTATGAGTATTAACAATCAGGAAGTCAAAACCAAATTTTAATATTTATAATTATTTATTTTATTTTTAGATTAAAATTTTTTTATAAAAGAATTAAATTCTGATAATTGAAACTAAAAATCTAATTGTTAATAAGTATTTGATATTTGCCATTTTCCTGGGGTCCTGTTACCAAATATTTGTAGTTTCGTGTATTGTTGTTATATGACTGCTCAACTAAAAGAATTAATTAGAGTAACAGTCGGGCAATGAACAATTATATCCAATCGGAATATCATTTCCTTTTTTTTTTCTTTACAATTACTAGCTCAAACCTTACTATAATTTGGTTCATTATGAATCAAATTAACATTTTCATCTCTGTTTTATTTTTAACCTTTACAAATCCGATAGTTTTTTAAAGTCTTGATTGTGATTGATGGATGCTTAACCTATTATTATCATCATTAAAAAAGGTTGTCCAGAAACGATTGGTGGAAGATATATAGAGTGAAGTTTGACGACGTTTAACCAAAGTCTTTAATTCGATTAATCAATCAATAATAAAAGTGATGATGATGATGATGGCGACTTGGCGATGAAACGAAATGGCAAATCAGAGAAGGTGGGGGCCTTTTTGCTACTTTATGTGATGAGCACCAGGACACCGTTCCTGCGCCGTTTGTTTCTCTCCATTTTCAAGGTCTTTAATCAATGCATGAAGCTGTGTTCCGCTAGATCTCCGTTCCGTTTACGTCGGTGCAAGCAACATATTAAAGAAATATATTTGTCTTTTTTCCCTTTTATGTTTCGAAATATTTGTCCACTTCGATAATCGCAAATGATCAACACAGCCTTTTCAAGTGCATTGCTTACAGCTTACCGCGATCCTTGGATCACGTGAAGTATGTTTAGGCCCTGTTTTCAATCAGGGTTTTTCCTACTTAGGCGTGCTCTTCAGTCTTTACCTCGATCATTTTCATGCACTTAATTCGAGCTTTGGCCAATGGATTTATATCACAGTTCTTGATTAGTCCCCAATACAGTTGAGTTGGGTATGACACCATTGAAACAAACTCAACTGAAGAATGGTTTTGCAGGGGTCATATGCTTTATTAATGTTCAACTTATTTTAGGTTGTTGCTCTTTAATTAGCTACCTAAGTGAACCCTAGCTACCAGACCTGACATGCATGAGTTGAACTTGGCAACTGCCATCAGCTTTAATTTGATAGACAATTTGGACACTTCTTACTCTCCTTTCATGTATAGCATGAATTAGTGGATAAGAATTACATGAGTTCATGGAAATGAGAGATTGATATTTCATTTTTTTTTTTTTATTTGAAGAAGGGAGAATCAGAATTTTGATCTTTGAGTAAGGTGATCAAGATTAAATATTATGCAAGTAATAATATTTATTTTTAAACGTGTAAAAAGGATAATTAATGTGATTTTTAGGTAATGTTTCAAGAAATAAAATGTAAAATACATATTTATTTGTACCCAAAAAGAAAAATTCACTCTTTTATTTTCAGTGCTTAAATGAAACTCAATTTGCTGTCCAACAAAAATAGTACAAAGTTAAATTCATGTCCACTTGCTCTTTTCAATTTTCATCTTGCTTACGTGAGCACTTGCTTGCTGTGATGTAATATGAGGCCCACAGAGGAAATGCCATTGGACTGCACTTTTTCTCGTTTGCGCTTTAATCCATGGGTAAGAAACTAAGAATATGAGAGGTTGGTGTTTTGTTCTTATGTTATTCTTGAATTCAAATTTGTTAGAAGATAGTGAGAAGATAAATTTTTATAAATTTATTAAATCTAATATAAATAAATTTATTTGAATCGCTTTAAAAAAAAAAAAAAACATATTGAGTGATACCTAAAATCATTTACAGTAAAAAGAAAAAAAATCCTTTACATATTTGGAGAGGTTATACTGGATTGAGGGAGGCCTGAATTGAACCTCCAGTGGTTCCGAGCCCAATGAAATCCATTAAATTTGGTAGGCCGTGTATTCCTAACTTGTCAGACGTGGCAACTTTCAACCTAAGGCTTTCACGTGGCTCTATTCCATTGGAAAATCAATATCAATCATAAAGATGTCGGTTGCGGAGGATTATATCCAGTCGATAACAAGGCATGGCATACCTCTTCGACACACCTCTGCAAATTGCATTCTTTTGAATCCATCCATTATCTTTTGTCACGCCAAAAACATTTCAAAGAAAAATAAAAAATTAAAAGAGAATAAAGGAGGAAAAGTCAGAGAAAGACAGAGACAGAGATTATTCAGAAATTAGTTGAAGCAATGGAGAACCTGATGATTCCTAGTACTTCAAAACCTCCTGTAATAATCCCGACAAAACATGAAAATTTATCTGAATTTTCTCAAACCCCAAGGAAACTCAAATTTTCTAAAACCAAAACCATCAAAGACCAAAAAATTAACGACAACCATTTAAACTATCTTTCACGAAACGGCCGCCTAACTGAAGCTATAACCGCTCTTGATTCAGTTGCCCAAAATGGGTCCCAGGTAAGACCCAACACCTTCATTAATCTACTTCAAGCTTGTATTGATTTTGGTTCTCTAGAACTTGGTCGCAAACTCCATGCCCGAATCCATTTAGTTAAAGAAAGTGACCGGTTCGTTGAAACCAAGCTTGTTAGCATGTATGCAAAATGTGGGTCTTTTTTTGATGCTCGTAAAGTGTTTGATAAAATGAATGAAAGGAATTTGTACACTTGGTCTGCTATGATTGGTGCATGCTCCAGAGAGTCGAGATGGAAAGAAGTTGTGAAACTTTTCTTTTTGATGTTGAAAGATGGTGTTTTGCCTGATGAATTTTTGTTTCCGAAAATTTTGCAAGCTTGTGCTAATTGTGGGGATGTTAGGACTGGGAGATTGTTGCATTCTTTAGTAATTAGATTGGGGATGGTTTGTTTTACGCGAGTTAGTAATTCGGTTTTAGCTGTGTATGCAAAGTGTGGGAATTTGAGTTCTGCGAGGAGGTTTTTTGAGAACATGGATGAGAGGGATAGAGTGGCTTGGAATTCAATGATTTTGGCGTATTCTCAGAAGGGTGAGAATGATGAAGCTTATAGGTTGTTTAATGGGATGTGGGAAGATGGAATCAGCCCTTGTATTATTACATGGAATATATTGATTAATGGTTATAATCAGTCGGGGCAATGTGATGTGGCAATGGGATTGATGAAGGAGATGGAGAGTTCTAGGATAAGTCCCGATGTGTTTACTTGGACATCATTGATCTCGGGGCTTGCTCAAAATGGTAGGAATTGGCGGGCATTGTGTTTGTTTAAGGAGATGATATTGGCTGGGATCAAGCCTAATGGTGTTACTATCACTAGTGCAGTTTCTGCTTGCGCATCCTTGAGAGTATTAAAGATGGGGCTGGAAATGCATTCTGTTGCTCTTAAGATGGGTATAATTGATAATGTACTTGTTGGGAACTCCCTTATTGACATGTATGCTAAATGTGGGGAACTGGAAGCTGCAAGGCAAGTCTTTGATAAGATTGAAGAGAAAGATTTTTATTCTTGGAACTCAATGGTTGCAGGATATTGCCAAGCTGGGTACTGTGGGAAGGCTCATGAACTCTTTATGAAAATGCAAGAATCAGAAGTGAAGCCTAATGTCATTACATGGAATACAATGATCTCAGGATACATACGAAATGGAGATGAAGATCGAGCTATGGATCTTTTTCAACGGATGGAATGGGAAGGAAGGATAAGGAGAAATACAGCATCTTGGAATGCTCTTATTGCTGGTTATGTGCAACTTGGGGCAATAGACAAGGCATTTGGAGTTTTTCGGCAAATGCAATCATGCTCCATTAGTCCAAATTCGGTGACTATATTGAGTATCCTGCCTGGTTGTGCCAATTTAATTGCTGCCAAAAAGGTCAAAGAGATCCATGGCTGTGTTTTGCGTCGGAATTTAGAGTTTGTACTCTCTATTTCAAATTCTCTGATAGACACTTATGCCAAGTCAGGTAATATATTATATTCTAGAATCATATTTGATGGAATGTCAACTCAAGATATTATTTCCTGGAACTCAATAATAGGAGGTTATGTCTTGCATGGTTGTTCTGATGCTGCCCTGGATCTTTTCAATCAGATGAGAAAGTTGGGACTTAAACATAATAGAGGTACCTTTTTGAGTATTATCCTTGCACATGGTATTGCCAAAAAGGTAGATGAGGGAAAGCACATTTTTTCTAGCATCAGTGGTAACTATGAGATTATACCAGCCATAGAACATTACTCAGCTATGATAGATCTCTATGGCCGCTCTGGTCAGCTTGGGGAAGCAATGGAGTTTATTGAAGATATGCCGATAGAACCTGACTCCTCTGTTTGGACTTCCTTGCTAACTGCCTCTAGGATTCATAAGGATATTGCTTTGGCCGTCCTTGCAGGGGAACAGTTACTTGACTTGGAACCAGGAAATATTGTGGTTAACCAATTAATGTTTCAGATATATTCCTTGTGTGGGAAATTGGATGACTCTTCAAAAGTGAGAAAGCTTGAAAAAGAGAACACATTAAGAAGATCTCTTGGGCACAGCTGGATTGAAGTTAGAAATACAGTGCATACATTTGTTACTGGTGATCAGTCTAAGCCGTGCTCAAGCCTTTTGTATTCATGGGTGCAAAGCATAGCTAGAGAAGTGAACATAGATGATAATCATGGTGAGTTTTTCATTGAAGAAGAAGAGAAAGAGGAAATTGGTGGCGTCCATAGTGAAAAAATTGCATTAGCTTTTGCCTTAATTGGCTCACTTTCATCCCCTCAAAGTATAAGGATTGTTAAAAACTCTAGAATGTGTAGGAACTGCCATTTAACTGCTAAGTATATCTCCTTGAAATTTGGGTGTGAGATATATCTGAGTGATACAAAGTGCTTCCATCGTTTTAAGAATGGACACTGTTCTTGTGGAGATTATTGGTAGAGTACATATGCTGGAAATAATAATTATTTGCATAGATTCGTCTTCTAAAAAAGCACAGGAACTCCCTTGGAAACTATAACAATGTCTCTTCTCTGTGCTCGAGCACACAGGTAAAAAAAGTGCACTCAATATGATTCTGTTGATCGCTGACTTTGCCATAACATGTGCTGAGAAATTTATCATTTTTCCTTTTTTGCCCTTTAATTTGTATATCATTAATTCATTATATGTAAATAATTGGTGCAGCTTTCTCAAGAAGCCATAAGCTGATGATCAATGGAACGCTGGCCAGTGGAGAATTCAATTTATTTCACTCAGGAGTGGCTGACAATGAGATATTCTTCTATCCCATCCACGTCCCTTCTATTGGCAGGTAAAGGAATAGAACATTTACAAGGATTGTTACTTTTTGTCAGTATACATGGCACCTTTTGCATAATCCATTTTCAGAATAAATCTTCATTTTGCATGCAATTGGTTATCTCTATGTTAAAATCCTGTTCTTGTTCTTCTCACTTAAAAGCCTTTAAAGCCAATCATATTTACTTAAAAATTTGAAGTATTACTTTTGCAGAAATTTCAGGATCCTACAAGAACTTGGAACTTGAATTGCTCTTGTTTAATTACTACAGCAGAGCATATCTGCTTATGTTGTATCTTGGCAAGAGCCACCATGTAGATCTTAATAGGTACTGCACAGTGTGCACTTCGCTTCCTTGATTTACATTCAGAATGCTTTCTGTAGTGGGTTTAATGGCACCTTATTGTTGTTTAAACAGGAATCTTTTGATTGTCCTTTGGATAGGTCTTGTCAATTTTAGAGCATCTACAGTCATAAACCATTCAAGATTTGACTCTTAAAATGTTTTTATAGGACCTTCTGGACATTTCTGTCCATATTTGATAACACCAAAAAAGTGTTCTCTTGGTCTCCTATGCTTCTAATGATGAAAGATTTTCCCCCAACCGAAACAAAAACATTCCAAGAATATTTTGCTGCTTTTCTTTTTCTTCTGAGATAAGAAAAACTTGGGACTTGATTAAGAGAGTGGTGAGAGCCAGCTAATCGAGAAAGATTCTGAGTTCCACCTTAGCTGGCATTGGCAATGCACCACCTTAGCTGGCATTGGCAATGCAATCTAGCAGAAGATGCTGGTGCATAAATAACTTTATTGCAACGACCTTTTAGATGGTTTTAAAAGTTTTTTTGAATAATATGAGAGCAAGCTTCTAATCAAGTCTTGCATAAACTAGCTACGCCTGTAGAAATTAGTACATAGTTTTCTTTGCGTTAAATAGCCATCAGAATTGCTGCCAATTTGCTCGCATCACCTTCATTGCAAAAGTTGAAAGCTCCTAAGGATAAGCATAATACTGTCTTTTGAAATGGAGAGAACCAAAAAAAAAAAAAAAAAGAACTAAAAAAATCAAGGAATTGAGTTCAATTGCTTGATCATATGCAGCAGAAATCGGCAGCTGAACCATTAACAAGCAACAACCATGGTGCATAGATAAGTAATTTGATACATGGAAATTGTATCTCAAAATAACATTTAAAGAATTGTGTTTATGAAGATTCTATAATCGTTCTAGACATTGAAAAATAGAAGTTTTAATAAGGCGTAACATTTATGATAGCTGACGTGGGGAATATTTGATCTTAAAATGCCCCTTATAGCGAGGGAAATCTTGATTCCGAAATTTCACAATAAAAAACAGAGAAAATTATGATAATGAAAAATCCTGACCATCTCTGGATCTGAAGATTTATCGTTAGACATTAACTTGAAGGAGTCGTTGCCAATTTTTTTTTATCTAGGTACGATTGGTCACCTAAAGAATCTATCATTTTAAGAAACATCTAAGCTTAAGGGTTCCTAAAAAGAATAGGTTCAGGTCTACTAACCAAAACAGGATTCGGGAGTACGGTTACCTATGAGAAAGGTTGTAGCACCCTCACAATATCCATCGAAAGATGGTATCAACTTAATTTTATGTTTTCCAATAAACCTTAAAAATTTATCAAATAATTAATTATTGAAAATTATTCTCAATTGATTCTAATACTTTTAGCAAAAAATTGAAAAAATTTTTCACTTCAAGAGTATGTAAGGAGATTACTGTTTCACTTGCAAATGTTTTATCGTCGGATTATTTAACATTAAAAAAAATTCAAGAAAATAAAAAAGAAAAGAAATAAATAAAAAAATGATTCAGCTTTAGATATAAATCTTTTTCTTTTTAAAAACTCATTGTTTGTGTACAAAAAAAATTGATACTTTCAACTTTTTCTCAAAATATTTTTTTTCTGAAACTTTAATTTCGAAAAAAATTGATACTTTCAACTTTTCCTAAAAAAAAAAACTTTTTTTTTAGAAAATTATTTTCAAGGAAAATTGATATTTTCAACTTTTTCTCAAAAATATTTTTTAGAAAACTTATTTTCAAGGAAAATTAATACTTTCAACTTTTCCTCAAAAATATTTTTTTGAAATTTTATTTAAAGAAAATCATTTAAAAAATAAAATAAAAATAAAAAATAAAATAAGAAATACTAAATAATTTTAATATAATCAATAAATAATAATAATAATAATATATATATATATAAAAACAAAAAAAAAACTTTTTAAACGGCTCGGCTTGGTTGGAAAACGGTTTGGTTCAAGATAGAAAGAGCGGCTCGAAGACGTGGCTCGACTCAGTTGGGCTCCAGGGTCGGCTAGCACTCGGGTCACACGCGAGTCAAACACGGGTTGGCGCTCGGGTCGGGTCGCCCGATTTCAAAACGCGCGGATTTTTTGATAATAGTAACACCAAAACGATGTCATTTTCAGTAAGTATAAAAGGCTCTAACCTTTGTTTTTCAGCAGATAATTTTTTTTTCTCTCTCTTCTCCTCTTTTTCTCTCCTTCTCTCTCTAAACAATCTCAGATTCTGATTGAATTTCTATCGAAATCTAGAAAAAGTCACTGAAATCTTCAAATTTGACTGAAAACTCGTCGAAAAATTCAAAGTTTGTCGAAAAATTTTGTCGGATTCTGAAAAATTTTCAGAAATTTTCCAGAAAAAAAGGCCAAAAATTTGAAAAAAAAAATTTCACCAATTCCTAAAGTTGTTCTAACGCATCATAACCTTTTTTTAGCTTCTGTTTCCTCTCTGTGTGTTTTCTGTCTCTTTCTCATATGCTTCAGCACCTATTTATAGGGATTGATCATAAGAGTTTCTGATCAATCCAATTCCCTTTAGGATTTGGATTCAATCTTTGAATCCAAACCCAACTCTGTCAGCCCCAAATTCACGCCAGAATTTTAATTTTTTCTGATCCTAATCCCAATCGAAAATCAATCAAGAAAAAAAGATAAAATAAAAAATATATATTAATAGATAAATAATAATAGATGAATAGATAAATAATAATAATAAAAAATATATTAACAGATAAATAATAAAATATGTTAATAGATAAATAATAATAAAAAATTATATATTAATAAATAATAATAGTAATAATAAATAAAATAAAATAAAAATTACAAATAAAAATAACAATGCAAATGGGTTTACCCATTTGGATCAGACCCAATTGATCCGGGCTTGGATCAAATTGGGTGTCTACAGCTGCCCTTCTTTGCACATTTTCTGTGAAACAAAAATTACGCAAAGACATAAACACCCATTCAAGACTTCACTTGACCTTTTTCTTTTTTTCGCTTTTTGTTTGTGTTAAAATTTTGATTAAAGCCCTCTAAGCAGAGGCTCAACGACTTTGAGAAAACATAAACAAAGCTCCTTTAATCAGAGGCTCAACAACTTTGAAAATAAATGGCTCCTCTAATCAGAGTCAACTTTGAAAATAAATGGCTCATCTAATCAGAGGCTCAATGACTTTGAAAAATAAATGGCTCCTCTAATAAGAGGCTCAACGATTTTTGAAAAGTAAATTGCTCCTCTAATCAAAAGCTCAACGACTTGGAAAAATAAAAGGCTCATCTAATCAGAAGCTCAACAACTTTTGGAAAGTAAATTGCTCCTCTAATCAGAGGCTCAACGACTTTGAAAAATAAAAGGCTCCTCTAATTAGAGGCTCAATGACTTTTGAAAAGTAAATGCTCATTGACGATCATGTCTAAAGGAGTTAAAAATCGTGTTTGAAGAAATTTTAGAAAATTATGCCCAAAGGTCTTACGAATAAACCCTGATACCGAGAGATACCCTATTTCAAGGATTAGAAACTTATATGACAAGTTTTTTTTCAAATTTGAAAATGTCTTCACATCTGTCTTCTCTCTATGGGATTTTGGAATACCTCTGCTTTTTGAATTTATGCACTATATTTTCTTGAATGTAGTATATGCTATGCAATGCGTGTGAAATTCAATGCATGCTATGCAAATGTTGGCTAATTAATTCCTATTTAATTGTGATACTCAAGTTTCTCAAGCTCTTTTCTTGGACCTCGAACCTTTGATTCTTCAAAGACCAAGTTACGTTATTCTTCTAAGATCGAGTCAGTGTAATTCTAAATCATCCCTTTCATTTAGTTCTCACATTCTTTCTGTAAGAAATCTCTTTCCAAATCCAATGTTCTTATCAGGAATTGAACGTCTCGATTATGCCTTTATCACTCTTAACTTCTTCAATGTAATGTAAAAACCTTTCATGCCATTATCCATTTATCAATCATTATTTCAAACTCAAAAAGTAAGAATGCATTTGCATATTTCTTCCATTGTAGGGTATTAAGAAGGAAAGAATAAGAATGGTTGGGAAACAATCAACAAAAGAGGCACACAAAGAGTGAAATAGAATGTCTTTTATTAACAAAATATTGGTAAACTTTGATCAAGAAAGAATTACAAGGATAAGTATGACGAGACAATGTCCAAAAATGAACAATCGGATAATCATGATAACACATCTCAAGATTTTTCTAAAAATCTAACCATCTGATGCATTTAACACTTAGAGCTCTTTCGAATTTGCTAGCTTTCATGCCAATGAACTTTCAGACTTGATGCTGTATCTTCTCTATCTAAGTTGCCTTTTTAAGTTTTTAACTTAGATAAACCCCTATGACTCAAACCGTCCTTTTAGGGTTTTCGCCTTGAGTCTTTATTTTTCATTCATTTTTTTTAATTTTTTATTATTTTTTATCATTTCATTTTTTTTCAAGCATAATATTTTTTCACAGCATCAGAATTTATAAGATGGGATAAATCATTTTCATCCATCTCAGTCAGTATCAGTGCTCCACTCGAGAAAACTCGTTTCACCACTTACGGCCCTTCCCAATTCGAAGTCTATTTTTTTCTATTATCGTGTTGGGTTGAGAGGATTCTCTTCAAGATCAACTCTCCTTCTTGAAAGCAACGGGGTTGAATCTTTTTGTCATGAGCCTTCATCATTCTTCGTTGATATAACTGACCATGGCACAATGCAGTCAATCTCTTTTCTTCTATGAAATTTAACTATTCATAACGTTCTCTAATCCATTCAGTTTTTTCCAATCCAACTTCTTTTAAAACCTTCAAGGATGGGATCTTCACTTTCACTGGTAGTACAGCTTTCATCCCATAAACAAAAAAAAATGAGGTTGCCCTAGTAGAGGTGCGCACTGACGTTCGATATGCATGCAGTTCAAATGGTAACTTCTCATGCCAATCTTTATAAGTCTCGGTCATCTTCTCAAGAATTCTTTGTATGTTATTGTTGGCTGCCTCAACTACCCCATTCATTTTCTGACGGTATGGTATCGAGTTATGATACTTGATCTTGTATTGAGTATATATTTCTTGCATCATCTTATTATTTAGATTATTGGCATTGTCTGAAATAATTTTCTTCGAAAGTCCATATCTACAGATGATCTCTCTCTTTATGAACTTACAAACCATAGATCGTGTTACATTTGCATATGATGCTGCCTCCATCCATTTTGTAAAGTAATCTATCATCACAAAAATAAATCTATGCCCATTAGAAGCCTTTGGGGTGATAAAACCAATAACATCCATGCCCTACATTGAGAATGGCCAAGGTGGTGTCAAAACATGTAAAGTAAATGATGAAGCATGGATCTTATCAGCATATATCTGACATTTATGGTATTTACGAGCATAGTCAATGCAATCACTCTTCATTGTCAACCAGTAGTATCCTGCTATCATGATCTATCTCACCATCATATGTCCACTGACATGTGCCTCACATATTTTATCATGTACCTCTTCAATGATTTTTCTTGCTTCAGCCTTACTTACGCATCTTAGTAATATTTGATCCTAATTTTTTTGTACAGAACATCCCCATCTAGGAAAAAGTTCATAGTTAATTTCGGATGACCCTTTTATCATTCTTTGTTGCTTGAACTGGGTATTGCTGATCCTTAATATATTGTAAGATATCATAATATAAGGCTTCCCATCTTCTTCTTCTTCTATATTGGAGCAATGAGCTGGTATATCATTAACATCTAGCTTGATGGGTTGAATGTCAGTATTATCATTAATTCGAATCATTGCAGTCAAAGTAGCCAATGCATCGATAATTAGATTCTCTTTTCGAGGTAAATGATCAAACTGGATATCTTCAAATTACTTTATCAACTCTAAAATATACTTATGATATGGAACAAGTTTTGAATCTCTCATCTCTCATCTCCTTTCAACTAATATATAACAGAGCTGAGTCTTCAAATACTTTTAATGCTTTCACTCTTCTATCTATAGCAACTTGTAAGCCTATGACACATGCTTCATATTCAGCGATGTTATTTGTGCAATTAAAATTTAACCTCACTGTTACAAGATAGTATTGTTCTTCTGGAGATATCAGAATCGCCTCAATTTCAAGTCCTAAGACATTGGCAGCTCCATCAAAATACATTCTTTAACACTTTTCTTCATACTTCTCCTTCTCCAGTTAGGAAATAGTCATTAGATATTCATCAAAAAATTTAAATCTCATTGGTTCGTA